TTTTTTTATCCACAAAAATCCCTGCATCCCCTTTCCCTTAGCTTCTTTATGGAGTTAACCTCTGCCGACGTAAATGTTTTAATTAAAGCTCATGAGGCTGTGATTAGTAAAATCGTAAAATTTAAATGGCCATAACTGAATAGTTTAAAGTCAAAAAGAAGAATTCATATTTCTTGTTACAGACAGTACAACACAAACCAGAGCTGGTAGTGTTTGTGATTATGACCATGAGCCTCTGAATTGTGAGTATCTCGCCTCTCAGTCCAAATGATGCTCTGCATAACAAGCAACACAGAAATCACCTCCGAATCAAGCAAACTGCATAAAAGCGATTCATCTTTTCCTCAGACTGACGTGCAAATGGAGCGAGTCGAGCAGGTGGTCTAACTTCATCAAACGCTGAGCCGTCTCCACGCCACGGAGGAATTAATGAAACCGCCTCATAACGGCGGCACGAGGTCGCAGCCGCCCGTCAGGCTGAGTGTTTGTGAGAGCTGCTCCCCCCGCGCAGGGCGGAGGTCACGGTCAACAAACAAAAACTGCATCTACGTCACAGTTACAGGAAAAACAAAACGGAATAATGGTCTTCACGGAAATTTGACATGATGCCCCGGAATCACAAACAGCAACTTTATCTCAAACCGGACAAATTCAAAGAAAGGAAATGCAAAGACAGGAATCCTGATATTCTTTCTCAGCAGTGTCTCTGTAATAAATGCTCTTAAACAGGCCTTGGACAATAAATTTTAAGTACTTGGAGAATGGGAGTTAATAAAAAAGTAAATCTGCACTGATTTAAAATTCCCTGTCTCATGTAATCCTTTGTATTTATGTGTGATGTGTTGTGTGCTACCCGGGATTTCCAGGAACGGCTCTGATTAGGAACAAATGTTGGCGCTCCCTTGGATTGAGCATTTGGATATGTCATTTAAAGGGCTGATTATCTTGATTTGGTGATCTTACTCAAAATACGAGGACTCAGGTGCAGAACATGGAAACTTTCCAATCGCTTCTAGTCACTAAAGTCTTGATGTGATTCCTTAGAGAAATCTATAGTTTGTTTGGCGTCTGCGCTCTTCAGGGAGTTCCACCAGGCGACTCAGTCCAACCATCACATTGACTCACCCCGTGCCACAAATAGCTTTCATTTATCCTGATTAATCCTGAACATCTGACCCACCCTGACCATCAGAGTGTCATCGAACGCTGACCATGAGTCTTCTCCGCGTGCACACACATCTGGAGCTCTGTGAGGGGATACAGGGATGTCAAACCCCCGCCTTTACACCTGCAGGACCCTCTCCTTACAGCTGATGGGCATGTGGATTGATGGTATTGATTAGTCCCTGCAGCTCTAAAGGGAATTAGCATTTCAAAAGAACCGAAGCCAGGACTAAGAAATTAAATCGATCTGAGGGTTTCTCCATCAAAGGTGCGACACGTCTGAGCCTTGACCTGTGATCCTGGCAAAGACGGGCTGTACCAAACACTGAGCAGCTTTTAAAAGCCTGGTTGCGATGGAAACTCGGCCATTATGGAGCACTTATCACAGATTTTCAGCTGTATACGTGCAGTGATAGCGGAGCAGCATCTTTGACCTCGATGAGATTGCTCTAATTTCCCATGGTTCAGGAAGCCAGGCCCTCTTGATTCCCGAAATGAGACGTCCAAGTCTCCCCTGTGAAGCACACTCATAACTGGCTCTATATTGCTTTACCTGGTTTGTAACCTCCACCAAAAGCTCTGACTGGGACTCAGACCTGACATCATTAGAGTTTTATTGCCTCTAAGTGGATCACAGAGGAGAGGAGGGGAAGTTTTGTAAGGTTGCAAGCGGTGCTCAGATACTCCGGGGGTTTTGAGACTTCAAAGTTTTGGAGGTTTTTTCCTTTTTTTTGTTGTTGTTTGTTCTCTCTCCCTCTCTCTGTATGTGTGTATGTGTGTGTATTTAAACCCTTAAAAACTGGGAAATATACGAGTGCCAAGACTGTTTTTTTTCCCATTCCTGTTTGCTTTCAATGCATCAGATTTCCATCGCCTTTCAGATGGCTGCTTTCTATCTTTGTGTGCTGCTGTGACTACGATCATCTACAGCACAACACCGCCAACTCTTCACACAGCCAGTATGTTTGCTGTGTGAAGAGTTTTCATCAGCCAGCTCTTTTTCTAGAAGTTTTAGGGTTAGGGTTGATATATTAATATTAATTAATATTTTTAATGGTTGCATGAGAAACCATAATTAACTTGTTGTTTTTCAGCCATACAGCTTATATGCAGAGGTTTATCTGGGTACTCTGAATCTTTAGATGATATTATGGACTGTAGATGATGAAATTACTTGCAACTTTACATAAAAAAAGCTTTTAAACTGTTGGATTATTTGTTCACGCAGTTGTTTACAAAGTGGTGAACCTCATCCCTTTCCTTGTTTGTGAAGGACTGAGCCTTTCAGGGATACTCCTCTTAAACCCAATAGAGAACAGGTCATTGAATAGAGCAGGAAACATACAGGAGACCAAAGAAGCAACCTGAATCCAACCTGGGCCATCAGCATATAAGGAGGGAATGCTCAGACCACCAAGCCAACAGCATCCTGGTTACACTAACTCTGTCAATAACTGCTCACTATCAACCTTTTACAGGCTTAAAAAGTGACATAATTCTTAATGATGTCTCAAAATCTATCGGTCCAGGTTCACCCGTCTCCTGGTTCAGGTGTCGCCAGAGGTGTTTGTCTCATTTATTAACACTAAACGATCTTTATATCGACGTTTCCATGAAGCCATCTTTGTTTTTGGATGAAAAGGTAACCTTTCTGTCAATGAACCTTCAGACCTGTGACATACCTGTCCTTGGATTTTCTCCTGATGACTTTGACACAAAATGGGCGGGACTTATTCCTGTAGTGTTAGCCATAACAGTCCTTGCAGTCAGTTTCTGTCAGATCTTTACTCTGAATATTTTTGCTTTTCAAAGATCAGTCCACGCCTTACAGTAAAGTACACATTTTGGATTATTTGCAGATAAAAAAAAACAAACTCTTGAGTGAGAGAAACTACTCTTTTGACTTAAATATATCTATTCACAGCGTTGGTTGGCTGTGCAATGAAAGAATATTGAGTTTATACACTAAAAGACATTTTTATAAAAACATCATTTCAAAAAATTAAGAAAACAGGTGTGGTTAAACTTGCAATAAAGTTTTGTGGGCACTAGATGGCAGCAAAATCAAATTTGACCACAACATTAACATACGATCGAATCAAATTAGTCTAGTACATGGGGAGCATGTCGTAGAACATACATTTGCAGGCACAGTGTTGTTTTTGTTTCTTTTTCTTCTCAAACTGATGAATTGAAACCAAATTTGAACCCTCTTGTCGCTCTGTTTTTGAGGAAAAACTGCTGAAATAAAACCAAGGAACAAAAAAATCCAATAAAGGAATTGTTTAAGGTGCAGCGATGTGATAATTCTCTTGGGATTCGATACTTGTACATGACCATGCTTTATAATTCATATAAAAATATTGATTGTTGCCGTTTTAAAACAATCACATGCAAAGAGCTTTAATAGTGAGGGGGCCCAGTATGAGGGAATGTAAACTGTACACCCAAGCAGCGAGGTAATTAAGAGAGCGCATTGATTGGTTTGTTCAGGAGCAGCAAAATAAACACTTTGTTCCCCACTGTGGGAATGGTGTTTAAAGCTCGGCTGGACTGGACAGGAGTCAGCTGTGAGAGTCATCAACAGGAAGAACTTACAGGTTCGTGTACTCCTATCATATGTAACAGCATGACAGCTTTTGTAGTTGCTTTGAACAATACAAGACAACATAATACAAGGTCATAGAACATGTGACAACGCAATACAAATACGAAACAATATGGCACAATACACAATGATGCAATACAGCGCAATGCAATACAATATAATACTACAAAATATGATACAATGTCAAATAATAGAATACAGTGCTTTGCAATATAATATACTTAAACAAACGGGTTTTTAATTTTCCTAAGGAAACCCAAAAGAATCAATTAAATTCTATCCAATCTAATCTAATCTATTCAGATTTAATTTTATCTAATCTGAAATATGATGTGATATAATTTAATATAATATAATATACTGTAATGTAATGTGATATAATCTAATCTAATCTAATATAATATAAAGTAATGTAATATAATGTAATGTCATGAAATGTAATAGAGTATAATATAATGTAATATAATATAATATAATATAATATAATATAATACAATACAATACAATACAATACCATACCATACCATACCATACCATATCATATCATATCATATTATATTATATTATATTACAGGGTTCAATATAGCACAGTTCATAACTTATCAACCAAACAGGGATATAATTGTTGCGTTCTTATTAATTGAACCTCCAGCAACTGTCACAGCAGTACAAATTGGTATCACAAGAACAGTAATGCTATTATATTTTTGCATCAAACCATGCCAAGTTTTTCCGACTTTGGTTGCAATAATGGCTTTGCGATTTTGGGATGGCGTTTAAAAAAGTTCCCTGTCTTAACCTACAAGTTTGTGTTTATGTCAGCTTATGTAAATCATTTTACAACTTTTTTAAGGGGAAGTCTTTGAATGTATTTTAGACTAAATGAAGCCATAAAGCATTTACACCTCTAACTTTTTGTGCAGCATTATGTTAGATTATGTACCTACTTTAAAATGAAAAAAAAGTCCATGTGTTCAAAGTCAAGAGCTGACACTGATTATCTTGGAGCACTGTTGTGCAATATCAGTTGATTGCAAGTGACACATAACTTTCTGAGTGTCACCTTAACACACACGATACTAAGACATTTACTCTGAAGAGGTTCTTACAGATCTCCAAGAGAGCATCAACACAATTTCTACAATACTTGTACTTTTCTTACAGCATCATCAGAGCTGTATATATTAACTACAGGACTGAAGACACACTTAACAAGACTGAGCAGTGAGTGCATATAGAATAACTGTTGTGATGGGTGTTAAGATAGGAGTGCATGTCTTACATTGACGTGAAACAATTCTCTCTTACAAAAGCTGAATAAAACTGAAGAAACTGGTTCAACATCCAGGGAATTTTTTCAGCTGATGACAGACGAATGTAGAAATCAATCTGGTGGATATGAAAAACACAAAAAGGTGCAAAAATGTTAAATTGCATGGCCTTAAATAAAGATGTTTCATACTCTGTTTTTGTCGAAAGGCTGCAGGCTTCTTCCACTTCAACACGGGACTCACACATGACTCATCACAGACTCATTATTAGATAACGTTCAGGAGATATCATCAAATTATTCATTTGAAGTGTGAAAATCGCCCTGTGAGTGTTTTCTTCCAGCCTGTGAGTTTCACCCACTGAGCTCTGCAGGAACAAACAAAGACAGGCGCTGTCATCAGAGGCAGAGACCTGTTAATTCAGACCAAAGCTCCGTGGTCATGCAGACCGGCAGAGACAGAGGGAGAGCTGACACTTTACGGTCACGTTTGCCACTTTTACCTTTTAAGAGGCTCTTTGAAATGTCTGGGTTTTTTTTTTTTTTTTAAATGTGTCCTTCCCACTGAATCCGAAAAAATTCTGCTGAGCTTCTTTTTCACAGTTTGCATTATGAATCATTTCTCACTGCATGCATTAAGAAAGAGAAACAGTTCAGGGCGTCAGCAATGAAAGAAACATGGATGCATTTTAGAAGAGTAGATAGAGTCTCTGAGGGTGCATTGTTGCATCTTGGCGGCCACTGTTGGTTTTCCTATAACCCTGAAATTTTGCATCTCATAAAGCATCTCTCAGGCTCCTCTAAATCATTTTTTGTTTCCTTTATTATTTGAGATTAATGTAAAGCTATTGGAGAGTAAGGTTAGGGTACATAATCCACAAATTTAAAAAATGGTGTCAATTAAAGTCATTACTCAGTATTGACTTGTTGTTTCTCATTGGAGTGTTTCAAAGACCGAGGTGCAGACAGTGATGAGAAATGAGAACAGCAATGACTGAACCATCAGATCAACACTAAAGTTTGACACACTTTTTTATCGGACCAATTATCAGACAGGAAAAAACAAATGTGTCAGAAATGAGCTGTGGTTGAAATATTGATCTGTTTATACAATCCACGGCCTTTTCTTTCCCACAGCCCCTCTCAGCTCTGCCCACAGCTCTCTAATTTTGATTCTGATTCCACACTGTGGAGTGGGGGTGGGGGTGTGTGGACCATTGACGTCACAAAGGCTCAAGGTCTACTAAGGGCCAGAACACACGTAGCTTTCCTTTTAGCTGCTGAAAGAATATATTAGAGTCTATTTTTACTCCTCAGCTCTGGATAGACTGGCTGGATCAGTGTGTTTATAAAACTAATGTTAAAGCAATCATCAAAGCAAAGGAATGGGTCGGATAAAACATTAAAGCCTTCACTGCAACTATGAGGTGGAAATCAAAACTTAGTTTATTCACAGGACAGAAATGTTACAGCAAAACAAATTCATAAGCAATAGCCCATGGATTTGGGAATTGCTGATATCAATAAAATCAACAAAAAACGTCAACATCTATACTTCATGACAGGGAAAATTATCAAAAGTCTTTGTAATAATTTTCACAAACTACTTTACTGTTGTTGCTATTAGCTTTTCATTCATTGATCAGATTTAAATCTATTTTCACAATAAAAGATAGAAGACAAAATAAAAAGTGAAAAATAGGTCCTTTCATTCATTAACACTTGAAGGTGCAAAACTAAAAAAACAATGACAAAGATAATAGGTTAATATACCAATTGGAGAGTTATCTTGCAGTTTACCAACAAAAGGAGCAACAGGAGGGAACTTTGTATTCATTCAATCCACTAGAAAGGCATCAGGTGTGCACTTCGTTTCCATTTAATCCGCAAACAAAGCAACATTAGGGCACTTTGATTCCAGTTAATCGACTAAAACAAATATCAATTTTTTTCCCCCTTCATTTTCCCCCTTTTTTATTTACTATTGGTTCAACTAGACAGAACTTTGTTTACAGTTTATCCACTAAAAAAGAAAACCAAGGGCACTACTTTTTATCCTCTAAAAAGTAACTTGAAGGCACCATGTTCATATATTGTCCAATAAAAGAGTAACCATGGCGCACCTTATTTACATTTAATATACTAAACAATCAACCAAAGGGCACTTTGTTTACTTATACTCTACCAAGGAGGCAAACCAAAAGGCACTTAAAGGATATTTTGTACATTTGATACACTGATAAAGAAACTGGGGGGCACTTTTTTTACAATTCAATGAAAACAAAAAGAAATATAGGGCACTATGTTTACTTTTCATCCACTCACAGAGCAAGTAGAGGGCGCTTTGTTTACATTTGATCCACCAAAAGAGAAACCAAAAATCACTTTGTTTTCATTATATCCCAAATTTAAAGTAACAAGATGGATTTTTTTAAACTTTTAAATTCACCTTAAAAAGTAACCAGACGTCACTTTGTTTATTTTTTGTTGACCTAAAAAGAAACCTATTTAGTTTATCCGCTTAAAGAGCAACCAAGGAGCACTTAGTTTGCTTTTTCTTTTTGCTTTGTTAATTTTTTGTTAAAAATAGCAAGTCATTGGTACTTTTTTGTGGTTTATTCGCTGGAAAAGAATTCAGAGGACACTTTGTAAACATCTATCCACTTTAAAACTCAAATGCAGGGTACTTTGTTTACATTTATTCCACTATAAAAGCAAATAGAGGGCACTTTGTTAACATTTTACACACTTGAAGGGCATCTGCTCTTTGCCTTGTCTAATAAAACAAGTTAAGATAATATTGTAAAAACCTTTTTTTGTGCACAGCCATCTGTCTCTTCATTCCTTTAAATAAAAGTAGACAACTTAAAGTGCACTGAAGAGAAGTATATCCAAAAAGTTTCTGCCGATTAAGTGCATAAAGCATGGCACTGATGAATGAAATTAAGATTGTATTTTTCTTCTCAGAGGTTGTTTGGTGGATGAAACGTATCTCTCAGATCTTTCTGTATTTCCACGGCTGATCGAACCTTCGTGCTGCAGTTGTTTGCATGAATTCCCTGTGGGATTACTTATAAAAAGCTGTAAATATGCAAAGCAGATTAATTAGTTTCCAAGGTCACTTGAAGAGAAAAGGTTATGTGTATTATTAAGTCAGCGATGTATTTCTTGAGTGCGTTTTCCCTGTGGACGAGTGTGTATCTGCTGAAGGTTTTATTGATATTTACTCAGGAGCTAACAAGGGTCTGTGCAGAGCTTCATTTGGCCAAAAACTATTTCCTGTTTAATCCTGAACCCTTACAAAGAACAGTAAGGGATTGGAGTTGTTAGAGCATCTTAGTTCTGGTGGCTTTAACCAGAGAGTGTGTGAATGTTTGAACTTGTGTGTTTATGAGTGTGTAAGTGCAGCAGCTGAAAGTCCACAGTTCATTTGAATCTGTCCTGAAAGCTACAAACCTTCAGACTCAGCGTGCTGACTCAAGACAGGGCTTATTAGCTCTAATCCGTGCAGCCCTCTGTGTCTGTGTTATCAAACAGGATTAGACTGATACCTGCGTGTCGCTTTACAGTCAATACACACACTTGAATTTAACTTTAAACATCCACAAGTCAAATAATCCAGCTGTGATGGCTGAGCCTCCTAAAAGAACAGGAACCGATACATATTTAATGTCATTATCCTCAATTTTATTATTTTTAACAGTGTTACCCTGCCCTTATGTCTGAAAAAATGCAGCAGAAGCGCCCTCTCAGATCCTCCTGGAGTAAACAAAATGTTATAAATTGCCCTGCCTGCTGACCTCTCTGTGAAAAATGCATGAAAAACTGTTTAAGTAACCCCTCTTCTGAAGGATGAAACTTGACAAAGTGTCTTCTGGATGTTCTTCCAGGAAATTTAAAGTAAAGCATACACATCTGAATGTTATTTTAGTAAATTTAAGGTAATCAGCTTATTTCAATTCATTTGAGGGTTTAAAAATGCCCCGTTGATTTCCCTCTGGTGTTATGAAACCTGAAAAAGTGCCCTCTGGATGCTCTTCTGGCATATAAATCTAAAAATAGTGCAATCTCAATACCCTCCCTGTGGATGAATGTAAAATTAAGTGCCCTCTCAAAGCCCTTCCAGTTGTTAAACTCTATAAAAAGTACCCTCTGTGTCTTCAGTGGATAAATGTGAAAATAGTGCCCTACAGATGGGCTTCAATATTGGATTTAAAACGTGATTGTCTTTCAGTGTGTAAAACATAAAGAATATTTCTCTGCTTGTCCCACCAGGATAAAGATTGTTAAAAAGAAAATACTGAGCCCACTGGATGCCCTAGTTTAAGGTTGAAAAAGTACCCTCTGGATGCTTTGCCAGTAAATTTAGGGTAAAGCTCTTCCTCTTGATGATTTGACAGTGAATTTAAGGCTTAAAAAATTGGCTGCTGGATGCTCTTCCAATAAATGTAATAAATAAATTTGAGGTGTAAAGCTGAACCATCTGGATGCCCTTCCAGTTTGACTGTGAGAAAGTGCCCTTTGAATGTTTTTACTGTAAACCTAAGGCATGAAGGTGCCATCTGGATGCCTTTCCATTTATCTAAATTTGTTCCAGTGGGTACAACATAAAACCGTACGACATAGGAACTTTGACCTGCGTTGGCCTTCAATGATCTTGCCGTTTGCAGCACAACTTAGACAACTACTAAAGATAATGCTCAGCTAGTTTTTGATCTACAGCATGATCTCCTGAATTTCACCAACGTCGTCAAATGTCTTTATCCTTTAGCCTCAAATATTTTTCTTTATACAGCCAAATATCTGCAGTCAGACACACTTAAACCTCCTACCTCCTCCTTCAGCAGCTCTGCTCAGCAGTGTTTAACTACCTTATATGACTGTGATCAAGTGAATGGGATACAACCCACTTAAATGGACCATTAAGGAGAATTAGGCACATCATAATCAGAAGATACGGCAGCACATTACACCGTATGGCTGATTAATTTCTCACATGTGGCTGCAGAATAAAAGACACTGATCTATAAGCCTGTCGAGTAATTACCAAAAAACGCTGAATTATCCCATTAATTAGCTTATTCTGCAATAAAATATTCACTAAAAGTTAATGATATAGCCAAGCTGAAGCATTCATATGGAATATGCAAGCACTGCTCTCTGGTGGACTGAGCAGCTCATTGCATGCATTAGCTGCTTTCATGATATCACTGCTGCAAGACTGGGAGATGCATTTGAAACAGATGAAAGCAGTAATGAGATCAGACAGGAGCTTTAGTGTTTACTGAGTACAAGAAGCAGTTACAGGGGAGCGGAGTTCAGGGTCTCTCTGGAGAGCCTAATCATGTTTAAGAGTGAGCTCATGTTCAGATCGATGGCCACACTCTTGACACTTGTGTTTGCAAAAGAGCACACAAAGACACAGCTGTAATATCAGGGTGATTTAGTGGAGGCAGGGGTGTTACATTGCAGAAACGTCCCCAAAGCTGAAGGTTTTAAATCCCTCAAAATCCCCAAACTTCTGCAAGATTTGCTCCACTTTCTGTAGCCCAATTACACCACACAGATTCCATCGATCCTATGTTCAGCCGGACGAAACTACAACTTGCAGATAATTGCTGCGGGGCACTTTGGGATCAATGCTCGCCTACGTATCAGCCTGTATTGGAAAGTCTGTGTATGGGTGATTGCCTGCACCATCAATCCGGCTGTAACAAACACAGAGTCATTTCCTAGCTGCTGCCCTGCCCTGCTCCTCTTTGTGTGGAAAGAGTACGATCCAATTCCTCCGCTCATTCTCCACACTTTGGATATTTCAGGCTTTTCACTTGTTTGTAGAAGTTTCTGGGATAGTTTTACAGACTCATGGAGGCGTCTGGCTGAGCGGTTTGGAGGTCTTTATGGATAACCTCTGGGGGACAGGAAGGCTCGCCCTGGATGCAATATCAGGACGGAGCTGCTGGGATAGTAGATGATGGTAAAAGGATGGTGGTCAGAGGGATCTCTCCTTGAGGAGGTGGGGATAGGATAGGATGGGTGGGTGGATGTTGTTGAGCACTGTTTTGTCTGGGCGGACAGTTTGGAAGCTTCTCCCTCAGATTTCTGGATGTTTTTTGGACGGTTAAAGAGATTTTAACTTCCTGTTGATTCCGCAGAAAAACAGAAACTTGATCCAGATTTGAAGGTGGGTGTTTGCTCCTTATTTTCCAGTACAGACAGATAATTGTCATGTGCTTTTCTGGCCTTCTTTGATAGAAAACATGTCACTCTATTGGGGTAATGTTCAAATAGCTACAGATGTAAAGATTATTTATTCGGGAATATGTTTGTTCTTTTAATTTCTTTATCATGGAAAAGTGGCCTGCTGTATGCTAATGCATAATACTTGCTTGCATTCGCTCAATTCTGGATCCATCTTTTTGTCATTTTTTCCATGCACTCTTGCAACATTACACAACTCATCAAAAACATTACATAAATATCTCTATTGATTAATTTGAACCATGATTCACTCTTTAATGTAGCTGCTTTTACCATGCTGTCTCACTGTCATTGGGTATAGTTGTATTTTTCTCTGTTTTAAAACATACAACCACTTGGTTGAAAGGGCTTTTGGCCTGCCGTCACCTGTTTCCACTAACAGTTTGGGGACTCTGATAAGAACTGATAATACCTGGAGTTTCTGATGCAAGGAAGTGCAACTCCTTACAGATGGATGGAAATCTGATAGAAACTAGCTGTAGCCATATGGGAGAGGCTGATTTCATCTTATAATTGATAGGTATGTTTGTATTTCATATCTAAGTGATGAAGACAACCAATATGTACCAATTTCATGAGTGCAGTGTTGATTTGTAAAATTTTGATCAAAACAAACAGCAGGGTGAACATCTTCCAACTAATGAGGTTAATTTACAACAGGTTAGTAACGTGACTGGGTATAAAAAGGACATTCAGAGAGGCTGAGTCTCTCACATGGAAAGATAGGAAGAGGTTCATCACTCTGTGAGAGACTGTGTGAGCAAATAGTTCAACAATTTCAGAGTAAAATGTAAACAAATGTGGGTAGTTCATTCATAATATCATTAAAAGATTCAGAGACCTAAAGTAATTTCTGTACACAAAGGACTAAAGCCAACACCGAATGGGCCTGATCTTCAGGCCCTCAGGCAGTAATGCATTAAAAGCAGATATGACTCTGAAGTGGAAGGCACCGCATGGGCTAAAAATCACCTCTAAAAACTATTGTCTGTGATCACAGTTCATCACTGCATCCACAAATGGCTAAAACTGCACCATGCAAAGCGGAAACCAGATATAAACATGATCTAAGAAATGGCTATTTTCAGTTTTCCTACAAATCATAAGTTGATATTCAAGTTCTTTGTTCTACATAGGTGATGGACCACCTAGCTTGTTATCAGCTCCCAGTTTGAAGCCAGCATCCCTGATGATATGGGTAGCATAAGTGTACATGGCATAGTTAGCTTACATAGCTATGATTAAAGGCTCCATTAATGCTGAAAAATATACTGTACACACAGGTTAAAAAGCAATATATGCTGCATTTCAGCAAGACAATGACAAACCACATTGCAACAGCATGGCTCTGAAGTAGAAGAGTCCTGCTGCTAAACTGGCCTGCCTGCAGTCCTGTCTTGACACCCATTGAAAATAGTTGTTAAGAGTAACGCTACTACACTGGTCTTTCGTACACGCTATGTTTGTGTATTAGTCACTTGCCTCTTAGAAACCCATCTGCAGGGTTATAACATCATAGAACCTCTCTGTCCGTGATTTCAGATACCATCTACTTTTTAGATGACAAAAAGGAATCAAACCAATTAGTATTGATTTTTTTAGTCAGCCTGCACAGACAATAGGAAGAAAAATACAAGTCATTGGGTTGGATATCGAATTGTGCTGGTAAATTATCCAATTTAACATGGGGTTCTATGGGGACTGACTCAATTTTGGAGCCAGCCTCTGGTGGACACTTAATGAACTGCACTTTTTTGCACTTCTACTCAAGATTTCCCTTCCTCCCCACTGTTAGCTGTACAACCCTGTCTGTGATGTGTTTTAAAGGATGATTCTGGAAATTTTCAGGGAGTGAGAGTCTGGAAATCATCAGGATTGGATGTACAGATGTATGACAGAACCTGTATATTTATACATTTACATATCTGTATATTGAATTTCCCTTCAGAGGTCAATAAAGTTCTTCTTCTTCTTCTTCTTTGTTTATTCTCCTTCCCTCAGATTCTTGCAGGAGGCCATGCCAGGCAGCCCAGAGAACATCCCTCTGGGAGAGTGTACCCTCTCCCAGTCCAGGGACCAGCTGACACCTCCAAGTCGCACAGAGTCTACTGTGTTTAGCATGTCCCGCAGCGAGTCCATCTGGACCGCAGAGAACCCCCGTGAGGACAAATGTGAGATCTACTGGTTCCCCATCCACCTCATGTCCACAGGGGGCAGCTTCCTAGCATGTGGCATCATCATCAGCGGCCTATACTTTGCTGGACACTGCAGGAAGGTTACCAACATCCTGGGCCCTGCTCTGCTGTCTATCGGGCTGATGGTTTTTGTAGTGGGCGTGGTCCTGATCCCAATCACCAAGGAGAACAGGAAGCGGTCAAGTATAAAGAAGCCGCTCACATACTACAGGCCGCCCATGTTCAACCTGTGATGAACAAACTGGATTTTAACATCCTTTCTAGCATGGAGCTTATTGTTCAGACACTCTTTGTGGCGGCCTGTAAGTTTATTTGTCTGATTTTTTACAGGATTGGGGCTTTTATCTCAGTCCAACGTGTGCATGAAAACGTCTGCATAATCACAGCTGCCAAAACAGAAAAAGAGGTGCAAGCATAAGAAGACCACAGCATGCTTCTTACTTACACACAATTTAGTGAGAGCCTGCTGTTCTTATGAATATTAATGATGAGAAAGTGGACTAGAGGGATTCCCTAATGCTGCGTGCTACACTATATGCCAATTCATGAATTATTAAAAGTTGTGAGAGCTTATAAACCTTGTTTGCTTTGTCTTATTGGGGAAAAACTGAGTCACTGAAGGAGACTCAGTCCTGAATAAATGTAAAAGAAAGAAATTTGACTGATCTGGAGGAACATTTTCATACAATTTAAATAATGTGGCAGGAAGTCTTAATGAACTCCTTCAGAGACCTTAAGTATTCACTGTATAGACATAAAATATTCATCCGTCTTTAAGAATGCACTCGAAATAAGACTTAAGATAAGCATGTGGTATTTGAAACTACCATAATCAGTATGAAATACCAATTGATGTGAGGTTTATTTGCATTGATAGTTTCGTCTCGTCTTTTGTAACTCTGTGAGTATTGTTTATATACAAATATACGAGAAAATACTCAAACAACAGACTATATTCCCACAAGAGCATGAACCCTAAAACTGGTGACGTCTGTGGCCCAAACCCATTTAAGACAGATTGAGACAAGGTAGAAAACTGTCTTGTGGTCTGACAAGTTTACAATTTGGTATTCTTTCTGGAAATCATGGACTAAGACCAAGTTTTTTGAAAATGTCTTGTGATCTGACGAATTTTAATTTAGCTGTCATTTTATGATAAGATGAGAAAAACTTTATTTATTCCCAAAAGGAAATTCAATTGTCTGGAACATGTTGGACCGTAATTATGGACCAACACAAATTGAAAAAACAGAAAAATCACACTATGGCATTCATTTTGGAAATGATGGACATTAAGTTCCCTTCTCTATTTGGTACTGGGGATTGTTCAGATTCTGCTACTTCTACCACTTTTAACACTACAAACAACTACAACTACTGCGTCAACTACAACTCAATAATAATAATCATAATACTGATAAAAAGAAGAAGAATTGGAAGAAGTACAGAAGTTTCCTTGTAGAAAACTTCCTCAACAATGGAAACTTAAAATATTTACTAAAAATCAAATCCAAACCCGGGTATAAATCTGCCTTTATGGCTTCCCTTCAGTCTGTCTTAAAGGGATGTTGTGGCGTAAAATTTATTGAGGGTCAAACACACCATAACACCGAGTTAGACACCCCCTCGAAAGAGGAATTTTGCCGACTGCTTGCTTCTCTAGTTATACCAACTTTGGTAACAACCGCAGGATAGCAATACAGAGAGCCACGAGAAAGCAAAGAGACTAAAGAAATTATCATAAATGTTCTTCCTTGAGTTGCGTCACCCCGCAGCAGTCAGTGATGGACTGGCCTGAGGTTTCGCTACAAACAAGCGGCTGGTGGAAGAGAGAAGGTGAGTTGTGTTTAGTCTCTTTGCTAAAGAAATCAGGCAAAATTAAAAAGATTTTTGGTGGCTAGTACTATGGCTAGGATCCTACATGTACTGTTGATAAAGTTAGGTGCTGTTCTGAGCATTATTTGTGGCTATAGAGTGGCGTTTTGGTTGAGTGTGTGACTCTCTGTATTGCTATCGTGTGGTCGTTTCTAAAGTCGGTATAACTAGAGAAGCAAGCAGTCGGCAACATTCCTCTCTCGAGGGGGTGTCTAACTCGGTGTTACGATGTGTTTGACCCTAAATCAATTTTACGCTGGAATATCCCTTTAAGACTTCTCATCAATTTGTGCAAATACTCATACAACAAATTATAAAAGTTTATCTATATGTTATTCAAAAGTGGTCATTTGACCTCACCCTGTAGGTAAGAAAGTACAAACACAGATTCTTCATTTAGAAAAAGGCTGAGTCAGTACAGCTTTGAGAGTCTGAATATGAATTTGCATACCAAATAATATCCTGCCAGCTGTCTTTTATTTGCATCCCCTCCTGGTGTTGTAGACTTAAACCTGGGTTTCAGTCGGTGAAGCTGGGTGCAGGTTAAATGAAAACACACTGCACTAACACACCTGACTCCACAGCCTGTATGTGTTTACTGTGTGTGTGTGTTTAGTGTGTAAGTGTGTGTGTACTCTGTGTGGGCCTGGGGGAGACTCCTTGTTTGTGTGTTCTCTGAGGCGGGGCTCTGCAGGTGAGCTGCCTCCTTAGGTACACCGACCGGATGAAGCATCCTCCCGTTATACAACCGCAGAGAGGATCTAATGGTGCAGCATGGAGCCTCTAAAGTTCATCGGACGTTGTGTTTCGTTGTTTTTCGCGGCCATCGTCCTTGATATCGTCGGTCTGGTTCTCCTCTTTATCGGAATATTCGCCAACCTGCGCATCGAAGGGCGCTTCTATGGAGACTTTCTGATCTACACCGGCTCCCTCATCATCTTCTTCAGCCTCGGGCCCTGGCTCATGTGGTATGTTGGGAACGTACAGGTGTCTGTGGATGACGGTTCCAACAGAAGAAGTACGATCGTGCGTCTGGCCAGGAAGTTGTCCGAGAGGCTGAGCCAGAAGCTGAAGGGAGAGGAGCGCGTCAAGTGCGTCCGAAAGATCGAGGAAGAGGAGGACAGCAGCAGCAGCAAGGGGGACTCATCGCCACACAAAGCCAGCAGGGTCACCTGGGGTAGAAATACAGCCTACCACAATGGAGGGTTCGACGGCAGTGTGGACAACCCAGAGGAGGATAAAAAAGTGGAGGCAGAAAAACAAGATTTTGACCTTATATGAAAACTGAACTCCTAACCTTTGAAGAGTCTGGTTTATGAACTTTACAAACTTAAATCTCTGCAACACAGACTGGTATACTCTTTAATGGGTTCTTCTGCAAAGATTAACCAGGATTGTATGGTTATCATCTAAACATAATTTATGTTAAAGGCTTTTCCAATGCAGGGCCATAGCCAGGATTTCCGGGTCCAAGCCTAAAACTTAAACCGGTACCTTGAAATCATAAGGCAGCCTCAGTTTTTTTTGTTGTTGTTGTTATTTTCAGTAGCACTTCATTGAGAAGGTTTGACATTTCATATCAACATTCAGTTTTCCTGAAAGAATTTGGTGCCATGGATCAACTGAAACAGATTTTTAGAGGTTTTAAGCAAAGCAGTAAAGTGTGAAAATAGTCCACAGACAAGATCATAGCCAAACTATATGTGAAGAAATACAAAAACCAACAATCTATAAATGTACATTTCAAAATGATTTCCAAAGGTTGGGGCCAAAAGGAGACCCAATCTATTCCTTTTCATATTACATCTTGTGAGTCTGGCATGTTGATAGAGTAGCTGGGTCTAATTTTCAGCTCAAAGACCTCATTTATCACATACTGGTATCTACAAAAACCCTTATCTCAGCACTACCTAACCTCTGCCTGAATTGCTATGTTTTGGCTAACCTTTAGGCTAACCTTTAGCTAACCTAACCTTTAAGTGATTCCTTTTCAGGAAACGTCTGAGCTTAGTTGTTAGCTATTTAAATTTTCTCCCAGTTTGTGTCTCTAAACTTCAGAAGGTCTTTAAAGATGAACAGCTCCAGGTTTTAGTAACAGCTGAGACTCATATCCAGCACCGTGTGGCCTTTGTTTACAAAGGAGTCATCAGTGAAGTGGCGAGTATAAACAGCTACGTTGGGGTTGTTTTCTGGGGCCCTCGTCCAGCGAACTTTCAGACATGGACAAAACCAACAAGGAGCAGAGAGGAGGAAGAGCCAAGTGTGTCCTTTGTCATTACCTTAAAAGGACAGCAGAGTCTGACGTCAGGTTCAGGCAAGGTCTCCTGAAGTTACTGCAAATGAGATCTTTGGAGAAGCTCAAAGACATCCGGGGAATCTGTCCATAGATACTAAACATCAGCATAAAAAATATCATCAAATATCTTCTCATGGCTTGACTACCAGCCACTTGATACATTGAGATGACCAAAAATGTCCAGGTTCACTGTGTGGTTTCAAGTTAATGGTTAATCAATGAATTGTAAATGTATCAATTTGCACTTAAAGACGTTGTAAGCAGAAATCGTGTTGATCTGAAAATCTGTTACACGTTGTAGATGGGAAACAGTTTCTTCGCTTTTGTGCCTTTATCGTCTTCAGTTTACATGATGTATTTTATTTGACAATTCTGCTTGGTCAGGTTAAATCAAAGAATAACTTTGATATAGTGGGACTCAGATGTTTTAATGTTAGGTTTGTATCAAACAACATAATGGTGTAGAAGCTTTTAAAACTGAAGGAGGTCTGCTTTGTCCATATGAGATAAAATGGATGTTTTTGTCAATGGAGTTTGGTGGCTTTCAGGAAAGTAATGTAACATCTGATTTTGTTTTTTGCTAATGATTGTCCTCCTTTTTAAAGTTGTCAAAAGAGAATCTGTTTTTTAATGTCAGAGATTATAACTATTTGAATTTGTCATGAACAAAAACCAGAACTTTAATGCCGAGGTTAGACAACAAGATCTTCATGTCTGTTATGTTGGTCATTGTGTTCATATCAGGTCAGATTAGGTGTCAACAAAGATTCATGTCAAATTTTCGGTTTGACATGTACTGAAATGACTCCTAAACTAGGGCTAGTTATATCTCTAATACACAATCTTACCTTGGCATGAGAGTAGTTTAAAATGGCTGAATGCTGAATATATCTATTGGAGCAATTCAGAACTTTTTGCACTTTGATTTTATTGGGATTGAAAATCATGTAAACATATATTGCAATCATTTTAGGAAAAAGAGTTACAGTCAATGGAGACTTACAGTTTTGGTTCAGGGCCGTCAGGTAGTTTCGAATAATTTCTTCTAGGTACAAGTTTAAGGAACAAATATGAGTTTAATAATGTTAATTCTTCAATACTGCCGGTGTAATACATTATAGTGTTTTAAATGTTAAAGGCAGCACCAGAGTTTTCCAGAATAGAAAACACTGTTTAATGGTAAAATTTGTAAAATGTGTCCTCAAGAGTTCTGAGTGATATAGATGGATTTGTATTGATTCTTTACAGTTTCTTGAAGTAATTGTTAACTCTACTGTTTCCTACATTTCTTGAAAAGCTGTCACATACTGTGTATAACATTACTCCATATTTAAAGCCATAGACATGTTCATGTGTACAAGCTTGGTTCTCCAATAAAAAAACACTTTTATCCACAGTCCTTCATCATCTCAGCTGAGTCATTCCAAACACACATTAAATATTCTTTATTTGACTTGTAGATGCCACCTGACACAGTAAAGTCAAGTCATGCTGGCCTTTGATTTGCTGTCAAAGCAGCATACACTAGTCAGACTGGTTTGTGTTTGTGGTGTGGTGTTGGGTAAACAAACCTGAAAGTCCTCAACAGAGGATCATGGGAAACTCTGGATCCTGGATGACATACTTCATACCTGCCAAGATGTTTTTAGCATCTGTGCTAATCACTTCAGGGAGTGGATGCCTCCAGGTCTGATCAGAGTCGCGCCTTATGTAAATGTCACTGCTCTGACAGGCAAACAAGCACAGAGTTAGCCTGACTGACATCCAAATGTACCATAACAGTGGAGACAATGCTACAGTAAATAAAACACAATCCTCTCTGCTCTAGTGCGGCAGGCAGGACAGTGAGTGAAAGCCACACAGCAGAGACAAATAACAGCAGCTCGACTGGTCAAACAAGCCGCCAACAGAGAAGTTTCCATTACGTCTGTTTCCCCTTTGTGACAGAGGCTTCACAAAAGGTATCATTGTCATACAGAAGCATGAAGCGTGCATGGTTAAATATTTGAGTGCAGTGTATCCACCCTGCAGAGCAAAGTGAAATATGAAAGGTAAATAATTTACCTGAGGTGAACGCACAATCTCAGTGGGAGTCGAGGGCTATGACAGGTCCCATAAACTGCAAATGAGTGGGGAGGAACGGCAGTGATTTTGCTGTCAAAGGTAGACTAAAAACGAGAATTTAACATACCATTACCTTTTTGAGGTGCCACTGTCATGTCAACCTTCATGCAAGTCAATGGTAAAAGCTGCCATGTTGAAACTGAATATATCAAGATAGGAATGAAAACCTTCAAAAATTCAATTGTTACCAATGAACAGACTGTAATATTAACTGCTGAAGCTGTATCACACTGAGTTTGATTGTAATGTGAATGTCAATGGTGAGGTTGTAGAGTTGTACAGATATTGCAGTTGCAGATATTCATTTTATAAATTCATATAATTACTACATCTACTGTTGATTTTCCTATTTATTTTTTCCTATTTTTAAAAACAAAATTGGCATTTTTGGTATTTTAGTTATAATTCCATCTGCTAAAACCTAGCTAAGTATATGTCATTGACTTTCAAACGAAGTAAATGGTCAAAGTTGACTGTAGTTTTAATTACGCTGCAAATATCTAAAATTTGTGATATTTTTATTATATAAAGAAGTTTTAATAAAAGACGTAAAAGTTGCCTGGCTTCAGTTGAATAAGACATGTATATGATGAATATTTCACTAGTACTAATTGCTTCACTAAAATAATCATTATTATAAGATCTTAAATTGGCCAAATTAAAGTGACAGAAAAGTTGACACAGAACTTGAATAGGGGTCCGTTGTTAAAGTAGATTTACCTTTATTAGATACCTATACTCAGAATTTCAATGGCTGAGAGATAATTAAACTCAAAATCCATTGCTGGTATAAATTATTAGATTTGAAACCCACAAAATTCAAACGTATGAATAAGTCTAGATAATAGAGGAGGAGACGCATCGATGGAAAGATTGTTGTGAGAGAAATCAAAAATAATATTACCACGAGTAAGGAATCTTAAGTAGTTACCTGAAATCAACATTTTGGTCAGTTAGAACTGATTCATATAAAATGAACAAGGTTTTCCAATAACCACAATAAAATGTTTACCGGTAACTTTGAATTAAAGTCAATGGAAATAGATGGCATAATGTAATTAAAGATATGGCATATAACTGTTACCATTAATGAGTACTTGTAATCACTGAATTTTGATTTTTTTTTTTAAATAGTAGTAGCGTTAACTCCAGTGGAAATGAAGTCAATGGAAAAAAATTAACATTTATGACTCATATTTGACGGAAACTTAATTCAAATATTAGCAATAAATTAGACACAGACATGCGTAATTGGTTATTTCTCATTTGAATGTATGACTAAGTTCGCTCATAATGATTTATTGAGAGGTCTTTTAATTTAGTTTCAAGGGAAGTCAATGGCATCACTGTGGCTTTGATGAAATTAGAGATATCAACATCTTTATGAATTTCAGAAAAAAAGGTTAGCAGATGTCAAGAGTGTTTTTTGCCAAGAGCAGAATTAATATATTAAATCAGAGTTTTGTCTAATTAAATCAACATTATGGTTTGTTGGTCTGGAAAACATCATCTGAAAATAACTTTTATCTACAGTTGCTGTTAATGTGACTGATTAAAAGTTAAAAGGTCTCATAAAAGGTACAAGAGAAAACACTGAAGGGTTGTGATAAGAGATGTAACAGACTGATGCATCTTTAGATCTCTTTGGTTTCATTAGCTGAACACTAAGATCTGAGGGGATCCAATTAGTTACAGCAGCTTATCTCTGTGTAAACATGTCTCAGAGGAGGCTGATTATAAAATTTATGTGCATAAATCTCTCCTGTCGGTTACACACAACAGGCCCGATGCATCATATTAATGACACAAAAGGTGCAAAACGAGTCGGCCCTGCGGAGGAATGAGGACTGACTGTTGGGCTTAAGTCTGTTTTTGTGGTTAGATTCCAGTCCTACCACTCAGTCCTGAACTATGAAGGAAATGTAAGGCGTGCTGCAGTTGAAAGAGGATGATTTAGACGAGAGGGAAGCCTTGTTGTCAGTCTGTTCAGGCACTTTAGGTGTCATCCTCACATATCTGTCTCACCTGGAATCACCTGGAAATGGAGCAGGGGAGATCCACCATCGTCCTTTTGTCCGTGGCAGTGGTCATGGATGTGGTCGGCCTCGTCCTCCTTCTTGTCGGGATCTTCGCCCCATTGAGTTTCTGGGACTTTCTTGTCTTGTCTGGACCGTTGATCATCTTCCTCAGTCTGGTGTTCTGGATATTCTGGTACTTGGGAAACCTCACAGTGACCGAGGAGGAGCTCAACCTGACTAAAGTGGACATACTGTGACCTGATGCAGACCTGAGCTGCCGGACTCATTCAGATCAGCTGTACAGTGATGATGAGGAGGAGCGAACCGGCTCTGGAGCAGCATAAATCATGGATTCATGACAGTTTGGGCTCTGTGAGGCCCTGAGGTGATAAATCCAAACCCAGGCAGGAGAGGGATCGCATTTGACTAATCCTGGAAATTGAAGACACAAACTTCAGGATGGAAACAACTCAGCTGGTCGTACCTGGACAGCAGAGGGTTGGAGGACTTCATCGGAGTGGAAAATGTGTTTGACAGCACTAAAAACCGCATTAATATAATGCTGTATGTCTTTATTGTGTATATCTTATCCTTTATGTTTTAAGACATTATGCACATGGGACTAAATTCCCCAAATGTTGGCCCTTTTTTCTTTGCAAGTGCACACGTCACTGTTCAATCCAGCTTTGCTGACATGCTAATGTTGCTGTAAGGTTGATCTCACTTAACTCTTGCTTTACGCTTTACCTTTTGGGCTCTTTTGTTATTATTCTGACCCCAAACTGATCATTTATCTCTTTACATCAATTGCTTTTTGGTCAGTTCATACTTTGTTTTGTTTTCGTTTTGAGACCCTGAAATTTATGAAGGATTTTCAACTTTGCAGAACAAATTTCATTACAGGCATGTGTCCATCTGAATAGCCTAGTGTTGGATGTACACTGTGCCACAAGTGTATGTAAATCAGTGTCATTTGGCAAGAATATCTTATGACCTTTGACCCCTTCTAGCAGAAGGGCTGTGTATGTACAATATGACGTGATTTCTGTATTTAAATGTGTAACAGAATCTTTATATAAAACAGAAACTCACTTCTTAAAAATGATTTAGTTGTCCTGATCTCTGTGTGGCTGCTCCCAAAACTAACCAAACAGGAAGTGTCGGTCTGTGTTCACGGTTATTTTGATAATGAGATCCACCCAGTGCTGAACCAAGCAGGAGGACAAAGCTGCAAAAGTCAGTTGTAAAGAAAATAGCATTACATAACCAGCTCACAAGATATGAACATTTATCCTGCTCTGCTTTTTGAAATCTGGTAAAACTTTCCGATCACTATGAATTAACAAATAACTTCAAACCTAAAACTAAAGACAAAATAAATATATATTCGGTGCAATGGAACTTTTTTAAGATTTATTCCTCAATAATGAAGATAAACATGCTTGAATTTCAGTAACTATAGCCTCAAGTTACCTTAAAGGGCGATAACAGAAGATACAGCACAATAACAACCTTGAAGTTAGTATTTGTATATTACTATAGGACTACAACATCCCCTCTGGTTGCAAAAACTTAACAACAAACAGATGCTTTGTTTTTGGTTTTAAATAAAAGGATTTATAATTAGAATTCAATTTAGGCAAAGTTCACCTGGCAAGTCCAGATAAATATCTTATTCCAAGATAAGAAGCCAACAAATACAAAATACAAAAAAAGAAATCAAGACTTTAATAGACTAGTTTTATTCCTGGTAGCATTTAATGAATGTATTAATAGTTTTGATAATTTGTATTTCAAGTATTAAATTGCTCAGAAGCTGTCATATAATCTGATTTAATGAAGTTTCAGTGTAGAGAGAGGCCAAAAATATTGGGAAATGTTAAAATCTCTGAAATAAAACAGCCTGTAAAGTGAACAATTATTATATCAAACTGAATAATCAGCATTAAAACCCTTAAACTAAGATAATAATACTGTAGTTTGATTTATATTGCAGCGTAAATATCATATTTTGGGCGGATCCTCAAAATTATATCAGTTTATTTTAGTCTGTTTTTTCTTAAATGTGTCAAATTGAAGAATTTGGATATATTGACTTTAAGAAACCAGTTTTTCACTTGTCTGTGTTGATCATGACGGCCAAATGTATTTCCTACAGACAAAAACTCATCTTTGTTTTACATTTTCACAGTGTAAATATCTCGTTTTAAAGTAGGCACAAAGAGTCACAGGTATTTTGTTCCTTCTAGTAAATAATCTCAGCCACAATCCAGTGTACAGTTTACATATAAATCTCTCTAAACTGTGTGTAATCTGCGCAACCAACAGGGAGGATGAAACTCAAACTGCCTCCACCCAGCCCAACTCTCCTCCACCTTAATCAGCACTCAAGGCGCCATCAGCCCCCAGACATTGAGAGTATTATTAATGTGTCCATTTGGCTGCTAGTAAAGCCCCAAGAGAGGAAACAGGGGAGAGAGGAAACCGGGGAGAGGCGTAATGGAGCTCTCTCCCTCAACCTCCCTGCTGCTCGGCCTCTCCCTCACTGCAGGATGCCGTCTGTATCTGTTGTGTTCAAGCCGCTGGGTTGTCTTGATGGTTTCTGTCATTATGATCTTTACTCACAACCCTTCTCATCAAAAACTTAATGACTCCAGAGAGAGACGCCTTTAACACGGAGCATGTGAAGATCTACTTTGGTGTAGGTTTAATAATTACCTGAATACTCCTCGTGCTAGAAGGACTTTTATCTTGTACCATAATGACTTTTTATAGTCGAAACAACATGATTTAATTCCTGTAACAATAGGGTTAGCATATTTCATAAGCTAAAATAAAACTCCATATGTTCCTAAAGTTGTGTCGTTGTGTCAGTCAAATTTCTCCTGATGAAGATCATTCGGGATGTTGCAGATTATCTGTATTTGTCACTTACTAAAAAATTGGGCAATAATGCACCAAGTTATAATATAACTGACCAATAAAAACGACAATGACGATGCAGAAAAAAATGATAGGTTACATTTTGCAACACCAACAATTGCGTTTTTGGTATCAATCCACCGAGGCATCTTGTAGACTAAGATGCAACTGTACAATATGGAGTATTGCAAGAAAGTACTAATAAGGGTGACATGTGTCAAAATAACTGCAGTAATGTAATTGGAGCTCTAGACATGTCAGTTTGCACAGGTATCATTTCCTCCAATTATTATATTTCCTTTTTTCAGTGCAGTTCTTTATTTATGTTTATCTGCGGAAATATACTTCCTGGTCATTTGCAGTGTAAATCAAATAACCCCGCACGATAGAGTATGGACTTTTTGGTAGGAAGTGCCGGGCTCATATTAGCTTCTGAATCCCTATTTTGTGGTTCCAGAGAGCCTTTGACTCTTAGTTGATCTCCATTAGCGGTGACACAGCGGTCATAACTCTCCCTTGACAAAGCACTTACAAGAAAAACAGACTGCATGAAAACAACACACAAAAATACAACATGTGAACTCACTCAGATTAGAGAATTTCAATATTTTCAATGCTAAATTGATTGAACGTCATAATAATTCTGAATTATTTGATAATAAAGCAGCTTCAAAAGCATGATCAAGCCATTATAAATCAGTATAATGTATCTGATTGTTTCTGTGCTCTATTAGAGGCTCATGCCGATATCATCTGCTTTTCACACTTTTCGTTGTTCATATCCAAATAAACGCTGTTATTCTTTGTGTATAAATGGAAGTTTTTCTTGCAGGTGCTGATGCTGCCAAAGTGTTGATGAAAATATTCATTCAGCTTTAAAATGGCTGGTGAGTTCATGATGTCGCCTTTGCAGGATTTTGTTGGTGTGTGTCTCCCTCATGTGGTGGGGCGAGTCAAAGTCACAGGATCAAGAAGGAAAAAAGATAAAACCCCTGCCTGTTTGGATATCACCAATGTTCATATCTGCAAATACAAGAAATAAACAGTACAACTTCGTGATAATGCATGGTTTATAATTTGTTTGCAACAAAATTGCACTTCAGTGAAAATATCTAATACAGTGTATCCGAAGATGGGGGAGCATATGTACATGTATTTCATAGGACACTGGCTCCTCTTGAAAAAACAAATATCAGGGAGGTGTATTTGTATTTGTGATTCACTCCATCACTGAGAGGACTGTCTTTATGCTAAGAGGCCATTAAATGTTACTGTTTTTGCAGCACAAATTAAAAAAAGCCTCAGAGCTTCACACAGCTTCATGTGCTGGTTTCATGAACATTAAAAACCTGGAATAACAAAACAGGTCATAAGTATTTTCATTATTTAAAGCCTAAAATGATGATCATATCAAAGAGGCGCTGCTAGATTTGTCTTCCTGGCTCTGTATCCAGTATGCTTTGGCATTAAAGCAGTTGTTCGGGCCGTTTTTGGGTGCCACCTTTTTGGTAAAATATTGCAAGACAATGAAATACCTCCCTCTGCAAATTGTGTTGGCACAAATTTAGTCAGGATGCAGCTCAATTTTCAGGTGAAAAAAATATGTTCAAAGTGTTTTTAATAAGTCAGATTTTATGGTAAATCATGATTGGGAAATTTGACTCTTGTAAGTTATTCACATATAGATGGTGTGCATGTTCAAATGGCTAAAGTTTTTTATCATAATTTGCCTAAAATTTCAGCTGTATGTTGTGAAAATCCTCATTAAAAAGATTCAGAGAGTCAGAAGAAATCTCTGGAGTACTATCGGAACCAGGGCCAAAACCAAAACTGGGTGGCCCTGAGCTTCAGGCCCTCAGGCTTCACTGCATTAAAAACAGACAGGACTGTAGTGGAAGTCACTGCATGGGCTCAAAATCACTGTCTGTGAACACGGTTCATCACTGCATCCAAAAATGCAGGTTAAACTGCATTAAAAAAATGATGCCCTGTCTGATGCATAATAATTGGACATTATTTTTGAACATGAACATGATCCATAAACACCAGAGACATCCCTCGATCTGAGCTAGGGCTGGGCGATATGGGAAAAAGTTTACTGGTAGCATGTCTTTTGCAGTACAATAAGCTACTGCATCTGTGAGGTGCCATGCGGCTCTGCTTCAGGTGGTGAAAAAGATTTTAGTTATTCCCAACTTTGCAAGAACATGTTCTCGACATGATTTGCAGTGCACATTACTCTGTTTCATGTTCGACCTTAAAAAATAAACAATATACCTCCACACCAGCAACGTTTTCCTGTCGGTGTTGTCGAGGATGTCGTCATCTGTTGAGCCTTCATCTGCATTTCTGCTGGGGGTAGCACTCATTTTCTTTTTTTCTCACTGACAGTGCTGTTGGCTTCCCGTGTCAAAGGGCTATGGTTGCATGTAGCTGCAGCCTGCGACTACGCAGTTGTTTGCTACTTGGTTCTAATTCAGCACATGATTGGTTCAGCGCGAAGCGGACCCGAAGCAATTCCTCTTTTCATTGGTTATTCATACAGTTGACCAAAGCATGGCAGAATGCTGACTATCGAAAAGGATGTTGACCGCATTTTGTATTGATATCAGGGAAAATTAATATTTGATATATATCGCTATCGTTTTATCCCTCAGCCCTAATCGGAGCCCATCTAAAACAGACTGGGAAGATTTGTGGTTGTGGAAATTAAAACCTCTAAAAAAAGAGTTTCCCTTGCAATAAAACCATTTTTTCTTTCTGATGTAAACTAATTTTGATTCAACCTCCATGCATAATTCTCTGACCCTGTCAACACCTGATCAGCTGATTCAGAGCCTTTACGCAAATGTACTGGCCTTAGCTGGTGCTGTGGATGCACACACACGCGCCCACGCACACACTAAAACTTCTGCAAAGACAGTGTTTATAAACAAGTGGCCTACAGATGGCAGGGTCAGTCACCCTGGGGATAGCAGGACCTGCAGACAGGAGGGCTCAGGGTTACAGGCCTACAGCCATCGCCGCTCACGTGGAGCAAGTCTGTGTCCGACACTGTCCACAAATCTGTCTGCAACGATTAAAGTGCAAAAAATATGATGCATAATCATTCTAACACGAATAATACAGAAATATAAACGCTATGGTGATCATTGCAAAGTAAGAAGATGCTGCAAAGAGCGCAAAGTATAAAGCCAGACATGGATTCTGTAGTGGAAGAGGACGATATGAATATAATGTGGATTTACGCTGCAGCGACAGTGAAGCTGAAAGAAACGAAATCCTGCAACAATTTCCTAAACACTCGGTTGTTTGTTGCTTTTAAAACCTAATCATCAGTTGTTATCGGCGCATGGTTGGTGGAATTTGATTATTTTTCCGTGTAGTGGTTTCGGTAAAAGATTGCACGTGTAAAACATTTGATCCACTCCTTTCCTGTGTGTTATAAAACTCCGTGTTTTCCGTCTCACCGAGCGGCATATGCGCGTATTGCTGCTCACCAACCGACCTTGAGTGTGTCCTCGGATTAATTCTCGCATGTGATTGGTCGGTGTAGCAGGGCAGCTCCAGCCTATTTGATTCTGATTGGCTTAGCGCGCTGTCAGTCATGTGACATTGGATCTCTCCGCTACCCTTTCTCTCGGCGGTGGGTCGGAGCCGCTGTCCCTGGCCTCGCATGTTCCCCTCTAAATCCCTGTTTTGAATTTGATGCCCCTCTTGAACATTTGATCACTTTCACGCCTCTTTCGGGCCACACTCGGTGTTTTATACCCCCCTGTTTTCATCGTTTGGTGACTTAAACCCGAGCATGGCAGTAGTGAGCGGATCGTCTGGGCCGGTTGCCCGGCTCGAGGGCCGTGAATTCGAATACATGATGAAGAAGCGCTCGGTGACCATCGGCCGGAACTCGTCTCAGGGCTCCGTGGACGTGAGCATGGGCCACTCCAGTTTCATTTCGCGGAGACATTTGGAGATATTTACCGCCAGCGACGACGGCACGGGTAGCGGGGACTTCTACCTAAGGTGCCTTGGTAAAAACGGGGTGTTTGTAGACGGAGTGTTTCTCAGACGGGGCGCCCCTCCTCTGCAGCTCCCACGAATGTAAGTGAACATGTGGATGCTAGCAACGTTAGCCGGTGTTATGGCGAGTTTCGCTGCCTTGTAGAAAAGTGCTCTCTTCTAGGTTTCCATTTCCTGTCGTGTTAGTCACCGAAATGTACCGTTCTCACAATTTTACTATAATTTTCAAACATTTCTTACAAAGAAAACTTATATTACTTAAGGAACGAGACTAGCTGGTATTGTTTGACTTTAAATTATGATTTAAGACGCAATATATATGAGTCAAATTTACTGTAGCCTATGCATTCAAAACACCCGGCAGCATTTGTTTACACTGCACTCTGCATGCTCGCTAGTTTTCATGTAGTTTCTACACTCAGATGTGTTTTTATGTTTATTTGTGAAAGATAAGTCAAAATGCACAAAAAATCAACAATTTAGTACAGATACCTTTATCATTAGAAGTTAAAGTTGGGCAAACCAACTAATCGTCGTGTCTGATTTAAAGTATTTTTTTTTTTTTTAGTGATTTCTTTTTAGTTTTGCACTTAAAGGCCACTGTGAAAAATAAGGCAGTATCAACAGTACATAGTTAGTCTTTTAATCAGATACTAATGCCCAAAATAGGTATATATTATCAAATAAAAATAGTCCTTTTTTTATTATTTTTTTATTAAAAAAAAATTATAATAATTATATTATATAAATTACATATATGTTTATATTATTTTTAATTATATATATTATATTGAATGTTAATAATGAATAATTTCAGTTTGTTTCATGACCAGCTAAAAACTCCTAACAGTATTTTCAAGTTGTGTTGCGCCAGTTTAGAGGACAAATCCTGGATTTTAGCTCTGCGCATGCGCTTTTATGCTAAGAGCCGCTCAGCAGCCCATTTTGTTAAGTAGCACCATTCGTCAGAACACCAGCCAGCTAAACTTAACAACATTAGCCTTATGCTGGGCAGCAGCATTGAAGGAAGGAACCACGTGTTTAGCGTGTTAGCAAAAAGTCAACATCCTGTTCCTAACGCCGTTTTCTTTGTTGATATTTTTTATCACCAAAAGGTCATTCAGCCGCCTGCCTTCATCTCACATTCCCGTCCGTGGTTAGCGTAGCGTTAGCCGCATACCACACTTTCTGTACACATCCTAAACCGCCGAGTTGGCTCACAGCTGTAGGGACGCTTGAGTGGATGCTGTTTAGTGGCAGTTTTTCCTCTGTTGGTGTACGAAGTAAAGTCAGAACATGTATGTCCTGAGAACCCGCAAACATCCTCTATTGTTATGCATGCAGACATGTTAGCTTTTAGCCGGCTAGCTGTACCTTGTCTTTAGTTGTGAATGAAGCTCCTCTCGACCCCTAAACGTAAACAAACCAGTCCGTCCCCGCCCTACCGGCTCTCACAGCACAGCTTCAGGGACCTTTGGCCTTCATTCAAATACGCCGATGTGTTGTTAGCCAGTGTTTTGACCAATAATGTACTAAAGTTAAGAGTGAAAGAAAAGTCTGAGTTTGAGAAAAACGATTTAAAACAGAATAAGTACTTTTCACTAGGAAGTTCAACTTACAGAGTGTTTGGGCTTTGTTGCATCGTGCACAATGCTGTAGCTTATGTTGTTGTTGTTGTTGTTGATAAAGTGCTCCTTTCCATACAAACATTTCACACAGAAATCAGTGGGCCTAAACTCACTTGGAAAGCTGTTTTAACAATTACTTTTTAAAGTGAATGAAATAGATCTGACATTTTTGAAACACAAGTGAATCGCAAAACCTTGTTAGAGGGATATAATTGCAAGCAAATTAAAGCTTGTTTACATTTTGACCAGCTCAAATGTCTTCAGCTTTCTCTGTTAAGCATTATTTTAAAGGAGTCAAAACGATCTGGCTTTTTTGTTGCTTATTTTGCTTGAAACACCAAATTTAAGTGAGGCTTTTCTGCTTAACTCTTGCCATATTCTTGTAAATTTAACGCTTTTGCAGAGTTAAATTGAGTAATCTTTCAATCAGTTAATCAATATCCGTTGCTAATTTAGCATTTTTATCCAACAAGAAGTGAAAAATAAACCTGTTTTATCATTTTTAATGTTCATAGTTTTGCATTTTTCTCTCTCAAGTCACAAGCACTTATTTTTCCTGCTGCTGCAGACAACTTAAAAATAAGTCGAAATAGTCACCAACAATAATTTAGCACAGGGATGATTGAGAATTAAAGAACAATCAAAACCCACCATTTTTAACCACCTTGTTTTATTTGAGATTTCAGTAGACTAGAGAGTGTCTGCAGTTTTCCCACCATGCTTATTTGTTGCATGGAAAAACCTACCAGTCTGCTTCTGCCAGCACAGGCCCAACTCTCCTCTGCTCCCTGCTGTTGTGCAATCCTTCAATGTGAAACCACTTTTTTTTTTTTTAAAGTGCACAAAGAAAAACATGTTTTGACTTGATGCAATTTCTGCACCACTAAGTTTTCTTTCTGCTTTCTTCATTGCGCATGAAAATTTTCTGCAGCTGGACTTGCTTTTGTAGCTTGTAACTGCTGCTCTTTACACATGGCAGTGCATTTAATTGTGCAGAAGCAATGAGACACAAGGACGGAGTGGTTTCAGGTTTGTTTATCGATCAGGTCAGCAGCTAATAAATAGCTTTTAATCAGCTGCATGCACTTCCATTATAAGTAAGACAGCGGCTCACGTGCTGGACTGTAATCTATATCACTTAAACGCGGGGATAAGGGCTACGGTTCGACAGCATGAGAAGACTCGCAGGGCTGCGGCCTCGGGGACGGCTCGCTCGTATTCCAGGGATTCCTCTTTGGTGATGTAAACAGAGTGAGCATAAAGGAGCAGCCTTCCCTTCCCCTCTTTCCTCCCTCCCCCCTCTGTCCTCTCCCACACCCCGCAAACTCTCCAACTCGGATCTCTTCCTGTCTTGCAGCTCTCTTTTGTTTACATTCTGTTTTATTCGCAGGGCGGGCGGGGGTGAAAATCAAGTGAGAGTTTTCAGCCCAACAGGCTTTGTTTGTCTCCGTCCTCGCAGCTCAGCAACAACTTGGTGGTGTTGTTTTTGGAGTTCAGGTCTTAGTGTTCACTCCCGGTAGAATAAGGTTTATACAAAAGCTTTAATGAATGAAGGAGATACTCATGGTTGAGGCTCTAAAACCGAAGTAAATTCAGCTTTTGTTTGACAATGAGTACATTTCTTATCATGAAGCTTCAGCTACAACAAAACACTTCACCCTTATTTTGCCTGTGTTTTCTGTGAAAGTGGGGTGCTTGTCTTGCTCAGTTGGTAAAGCGGGCGCCCCTCATGCTGCAGTCCTTGTAGCACCTGTCCAAAGGTAAATAAATTCATTATATCAGCACGATTACAGCTGCATAAATAGCAGCCGTAGTAAAGGTTTGATTCTCTTGTTTAAATTAAATTTGTACGAAAACACTTCCGATGATTCTTGTAGTGTTTGGGTTAGAGATTGAGAGAACTGATCATATCTTATGGAACGGTTTTCGAAAATAATCTAATTGAGCTTTTTCCCCTCAATATTGTGATTTAATATGCGCTTATTTTTTCAAGGTCCTCTTCTTATGTATTTTTCAACAAACACAAACAATCAATCAATCTGTTTGCACACACACAGAGACACAGGCTCTTTCTGCTCACACACTATCGTGCACACATGCAAGCGCCATCATATAAGTCATGATTCTAATCTACATACCAATAGTGAGATGTAATCGGTGCCCAAAACTCTGGAGTCTGGACTTTTCATTCAGCTGTGCTGCCATCACCATATTGGATGCGTTTTCCGTCGTTATGCAGACACGGTTTGATGTTGAAGCGCTGGTCGCTGGTGTTTTAGCCGTTCAGCTATTGCACATAGCTTTGTTGCGTTTTTTGAAGTGTTGATAAATGTTCGTAGTGTTACCTCCTGATGTAGCAACAGTAGCAAGGCAGGTTCGGCACACGTTGTGCAGCGGCGTCTTTTTTAGCCAAAATAAATCCACACAACTGCCATGCTGCCCCTCCTTGACACTAAACTTTCTTCAGTATTAGCTTCTGTAGCGGATTTAGGCCATAGTGCAACAGAGTGCAGTGTTGACTTCTCTCTCTACCTGCTCTGCTTCGCTCGAAAGTCACATGACCAGATCACGTAACCAGTCAAAATCGCAGCCCTTGCGGTCAGAGAATCTCGTTTTATCATATCGCGATGTGATCACTAATGTCATTAATTGTTCAGCCCTAACACCAAACAAATATGTTCATAGTGGCGCTACAGTTGAGTACTTATGGGAGTGAAGTCAAACAAAGTGGGGCTAAGTTTTGCCAAGAAGCTTGTCATTCAATGTAAAAACTAAAGGTAAAAACACCCATGACTTAATAAAGAACTATAGGAAACTTAAGCTCTGCATTCATGTAGACGGGTAAGAAGGTGGGTTAAACTTTCCCAACAGGCCGTGAACTTCTCATATCATCGCCTACCTTCAGTGGGCTCTCCTCACTTTTTAATTTTCTCTTAATAACCAGCTCTAATACTCGATAGCTGGCTCGTCTGTGTTGTCGCTCATATGTCCAGCGGTGCTCGCTGACAGCACAGTGAAACACAGCGAAGAGCTTAAAGGAACAGAACTGCTTCAAATGTTTTATTATTCATGGATATATTTAGATCTCACGTCCTCACTCTGTCACTAACACACCAAACCTCTCTGATGTTATTTAGGGATGTTTTTCGCTCCGTCACATCTTCAGAAAAGTCTGTCCCCGTCCTGTAAGGGAATCAAACTCTCTCTCTCTCTCCTCGCCGGAAGTGTTTCGGTCTCCTCCTGTGAGCGCCAGAGCTAATCTGAGGTGGAGGTGTCGGGGAAACGGCTCTCTCAGCAGATGCCAGCTCTGCGAGCGCCCGATTAAACGAGGGAAAAGTGGTGCCTGGCGCTCTTTGACTCAGTGAAAACCAGCGAGTGTCAGACTGTCTGATCCTGAAGGGGATTTAAAGCAGTTTACTCTTTTCAGTGTTATCTGTAAAGGATTATTCTGGACAGTTTTTTCATTAATCTATGATCGTGTAGAAGTAAAAACAGGACCTAGGCTGAGTCTGATTTTACAAAATCTAAAATTAGTTCATTTACCGGAAGGAGTTTGCCTTGAAGCTTTCTTGGCATGGTCCCGTCATTCCCGAGTATTTTGTTAGTTTGTCATTGAGTGGGGGGAAAATAAAAGAAAATAGATACTAATTAAAAAAAAAAAAAGGTTTCATTATTATCAAAATTAAAAACTGCAGTGGTGCAGTCTTTGTTCTATGTCCTAACCTTCTGTAATTCTTGAAGAGATTGCTTATACAATTTCATCACAGTGAACTACACTGAATCCGCCTCATTCTGCAAAAAAAAATGTGGTTCAGTTCATTGTCTGTGTCTTGACGTGTTTTCAAAACTAGCCCTGGTTAAAGGGATATTCTGGTGTAAAATTAATTTAGGGTCAAACACACCATAACACCGAGTTAGACACCCCCTCGAGAGAGGAATGTTGCCGACCACTTGCTTCTCTAGTTATACCAACTTTAGTAACCACCACAGGATAGCAATACACAGAGCCACGCGCTCAACCAAAACGCCACTTTGTAGCCACAAATAATGCTAAGAACAGCACCTAACTTCATCAACAGTACATATAGGGTCCCAGCCATAGTACTAGCCACCAAACATCTTTTTAGCTTTGCCTGATTACTTTAGCAAAGAGACTAAACACAACTCACCTACTCTCTTCCAGCAGCCACTTGTTTGTAGCGAGACCTCGACCAGTCCATTACGGACTACAGCGGGGTGACACAGCTCAAGGAACTAACTTGGTGTCATGGTGTGTTTGCCCCTAAATCAATTTTTAGCCAGAATATCCCTTTAACTAAATCTTGATATGCTGACTAAAAGCAAATTTAACTTCCAGTCAGATTGTGCTCTATCCCCTGCTGAAGCCATCTGCAGTATTAAACAAAGAACTATCTGTAATAAATCCTCCCTGTTTTTGTCAGTGTGTGTCTGTTTAGAAAAGGATGTTGCATCAGTATGTGGAGTTAACAAACTTTGATGTCTCTCTTGGGAAATTAAAGTCACATCAGAGCTCATCAAAGTTCTCACTGATTCGATGAGCTCTAAAATTGAGTTTTCAGCATGACGCAGTTTCTGTGTGTTTCTTGTTAAGTTCCACCTTTTTCAAAAACGTCCCGCATGTGTTTGTTATTTTTCCTCAGGTGCACGTTCAGGTTCCCAAGCACAAACATCAAGATCACGTTCACGGCCCTGTCCAGCGGGAAGAAGGTGAAGCGTGAAGCTCCCGAGTCTCCAGTGAAACCGGTACAGCCGCAGATCTCCCCGCTGACCATCAACATTCCAGACAACATCGCTCACCTCATGAGCCCGCTGCCCTCGCCGACTGGCACCATCAGGTACACGCCGCTGTGAATGTTCAGAGGGAAAAACACTGGAAACCAAAACAGCCAAACACTGAACTAAAGCTTTATTTCCTGGGGTTTAAACTCAGTAAAAGAAAGTTTGAAGTCAAATGTCATTCAGATCTTTCCAAACCATGCCCCCTGTTTCACATATTTGTGGTTTTTCGTGGCTGTTTAAGGCTTCCAGCTGCAGGAAAGTGCAAAAAAAGTCCAGTCCAAGTCTGCTTCTTACTCCAAGTGTGTTAAAACCATTACAGAAAGGATCCTTTTCAAATGGAGATGATTATTTTAGGACATGAACAGCTGTTACATGACGCTCTTCAAATCTGACAGACTTGATTGACAAAAATAATCATTATTATCCAAGAACAAGAGAGCCTCTTATGCTTTCTCTGTCTCGATAGGTGTTGTTGTGTTACAAAGTTGTCTTGAACCATCAGAAGAAACACACTATAATACAAACAAATAAACTGATAAACACATCGGTAAAGCAAAAAGTCTTTTGTAATCGTGGTAAAATGACAGTTTTTGTCAATGGAGTCTGGTAACTTGAAGACAGCGAAGTAACAGCTGGCTGTGGTTGTAAAAAAGCGTCTTATACTAAGGAAAAAAAAACGGCCATCTGTGTAGAAATCCTTACTTTTAATGTCAGACACTTAAACAGCAATCTCAGTGACAAAGATGAGTACTTTTAATGGGTTCAGTGTGAATTAAAAACAAGCTTAGCTGCTCATGTCTGAGGATATCAAAGTCTTTAACTTCAATTTAAAAAACCTGGCTTTTAGAATACAACTCAAAATTAATGAGAGAGCAAAGAGCAAAAGATGAAGCGTCTATGATGAGGTAACTTCACCTCGTCAGTCAAACAATTACACAACTTTCAGTCTTTTGTTGTTCCTGGAGACTCTGATACCTGAGTGGTGTACGGTTTTATAAGTGCTGTTATATTTAACCCAGACCTTCCACAGTAAAATAAAACAAACTTGAACTGATTTCAGGCCACATATGTTGGATCAGTACTTCTCTGTTGTAGGAGTCTCTCCCGCTCCACCTCCAGGTGACCTTCAGCTGTCAGCTGACCTTGACGTGGCCCCTGTGTGGTGATCAGCTTAGGCTTAGTTGAAAGAGTACAGGGCTCAGAAAGGGACTCACTCCCATCTCAGACACTCCGATCCTCTCAACCTCTGATCTCAGACAGATGGCTCCAAACCAACAACCCCTGTCCTACATATAGAGGTGATTTTATTTAGTGTTGTGAAGGTAATGAGAGGAGGCAGGTGTGGGAAACAAACATCTCTAGAGCGCCCAAGGGTTCAAAACAGACAGAAAACATGGAAATGATCCTTTAAATTTAGTCATTTCATTCACTGCTTTCTCAGTCCATCACTGAAGATCAAATGTGTAGATGCTGTTGGCCTGAATCTTGTGGTCACAGATTGCAGCATTTCCACGGAGGTAGAGCTATTTGCATAGATGTAGGCCAAAAGTGAGCCACTGCAGCACAGACTGCAGATAGACCGAGCCAGAGACAGCACTGTGCTACTTCTGGATGACACCTAAGTTATCGATGAGATCACTTTTTGTCTCTTTCTATAAGTCAGAGTTTGGTTTCAGATACACTGATGTACCAAAAGTGTGTCTTTAAATGTCCTGATCGACCTTTTAGGCCCCTGATCCTGATCTGAGCTTTTTTTTTTTTTCAAATTCAGATTACCCGCCAAGACCAAGTCCTGACATGCATTAGTTTCACGTTTATTTTCTCCACATGTCCAGCATCTCCTCTATGACCGGCTTTATAAGATCCACTAAATTGGTATGCATGTGATACTGCACGCTTAAACTGGAAAATGTCAGAAACAGTCCAGTGGGCAGTTAGGCTCAGCAATAACCAAACAAACATCAGGGTTGATGGAACAGACTGTCCTGTATTTATGTTTGCGCCTTTTTGAACGACATGTCCCTGGAAAGTTACCATAGGCTGCTGTTAAGTGGTTCCTGCTGCTGTGATCGATCTGACCGTGCACATGTGTTCACTAAGGCTCCACATGTTTTATTTTGATTCATTCATTTTGACTAATAGTTGACTTTCTGTTAAAGACTTTACTCAGTTCAGGGCTTGACAGTAACTTTTTTCACAAGGCACATGTGCTCCCAAGTTGAAAAATAAGGAGCACACAAAGAATTTTAGGGGAACAAATAATGTTTGTCTTATTGGTCGACATAAGTACTATTATTTAAAATCAATTATAGGTCTTTTGGTTACATGACATGGAAGCTATTGAATGAAAACAGCCTTTTTTTAAAAACATCAACCGGTAATTTATTGTTGGTCCCTTATTCAACACCCGATGTTAACAGCGAGGTTGCGGAGTAGATTTAATCGCGCTGCTGTTGCTATTACCGGCTATGGAGAGTGAGGGGACACCGGTAGATCTGCAGTGAATGTCCAACTTCACCGCTGTATTTACATGAAAAAGCATTTGTTGCATTGGCTGATTTTATTTTTATGCCCACATGTGCCCCTAAATTCATTTTACAATTCGCACACATCTATTTTTAGTCGCAAATGCGAGTGAAACGGTCGCACTGTCATTCCCTGCATTTACAGCTCATATGAACAATCAGGGATGAGATTAATTTGCTCAAACTCCTGATCCTAGATCAGACGAGAAGTGATTTGTTGAAGATGTGTAAACTTTCCTTAGGGTGGATGGCAATTTGCGCCCTCCAGCATACCAAAACAATCAACAAACAAGTTAGCAAGATGCTAACCGGTCGTATGTTGAAAACAGGCTCTGCGAATGTTTGTTTTTTGGCGTTTTCTGTTAAGCATGTACAGAGTTTGGGTCAGATCGTACGCATGCAAGTGAAAATCAAAGCCTTCAAGTATTATCTAGCTATGTTGGATCAACCTCTGGAAATTTGACGAACTTGTTCATGTGTATTTGAAAGTGAAGTTTCAGTCAGACCCGTGCAGTAGAATGTAAACAAACTGATTAAGAGGAGTTGAAGAGAGCTTGCTCTGCTAAAGAAAACAAGAAAAAAAAGACTTAAAAGACTAGGGGTGCGACTCACGAGTGGCCCCATGATACGATATTATCACGATACTTGGGCCGTGATACAATATTATTGCGATTTTTACCATTTTGCAATACAGTGAGTATTATATATTGCGATTTATACTGTTTTTTTTTCAACTGTTAGGCTAATTTAGCATTTGTCTTTCTTTTATGTTTGTCTTATTTACTCAGTATCTTAGTTTCATGTAGCACATCTAGCAAACCTTTAATATATATATTTGTTGCACTAACTTTCTCCTGCTCTATAATGTCACCTCTGCCAACTTCACTGGACAAACAGTTGATTTTATTTTTCCATGATCATAGATTTGACTTCATATCAGCAATTAACTTGAAAAAATCGACACTTGGTAAATGAGACGACACGATAAATCACCAGACAAAATATCGCGATACTATGCCGAATCAATCTTTTTCTCCTACCCCTGATAAAGACGGAGCAGAGAAAAAAAACACGTGTTGTGATAGTTAGTCACACATATAGGTGATTTCATACACATCACCCAGCAAACCTTGTCTTTAATTCTACCACACCCTTATTACACTCGTTGCTTATTTGACCGTTGGTGTGAGGGGTAAATCCTCTAATTTAACCACAATGCACATTTCTTTGTCACTTACCTTCATTAGTTCAGCATTCAGCTGCTGATTCTCTCACCCTCTCTGCCCGCAGTGCTGCTAACTCGTGCCCCTCCAGCCCGCGGGGGGCCGGCTCCTCAGGCTACAGGATGGGCGGTCGTATGGTCAGCTCCGCAGAGCTGCAGCTCATCAACGACAACTCTCAGCCTGAGAACGACAAAGACGCCTCTGGAGGGGACAGTCCTAAGGTGAGAGGAGACCTAAAGGAGAGCCTGACCTTCAGTTTGGTTTTTTGCTGATAATGTCATATGAGATGAAGACAGCTGCCTGTGCATTTGTAGTCCCACTCATGGATGTCTGCTCTTCTCCACAGGACGACTCCAAACCTCCGTACTCCTATGCACAGCTGATTGTCCAGGCAATCACTCTGGCGACGGACAAGCAGCTCACACTAAACGGAATCTACAATCACATCACAAAGAATTACCCATACTACAGGACTGCAGACAAGGGCTGGCAGGTGAGGACGCTGCGATGAGGCCACATGTGCACAGACGCCCTTTGTGCGAAGTGTACCTGTAAAATTCACTCAAAGATAATCCTTAAAACTCTTCATTTGGTCCTCCTCTGTCCCAGAACTCGATCCGTCACAACCTGTCCCTGAACCGCTACTTCATCAAAGTGGCAAGGTCGCAGGAGGAGCCGGGGAAAGGCTCATTCTGGAGGATAGACCCGTCCTCGGAGGCGAAGCTCATCGAGCAGGCCTTCAGGAAACGAAGGCCCCGGGGTGTCCCCTGCTTCAGGACCCCACACGGACCCCTCTCTTCCAGGTCAGGAGTGCCACTTTGCTATCATTTATCATACATTCTAGACAAAATGTCATCTCTATTTTGTCTGTAACTCACCTTTCGAACCTCTCTGACCCCCAGGAGCGCCCCAGCGTCTCCCAATCACTCAGGCGTCCTCTCCGCCCACTCCAGCGGCGTCCAGACCCCCGACAGTCTGTCTCGAGAGGGTTCTCCTGTTCCCATGGAGCTGGACACCTCCTCTGCTCCTGCTCCGGCCTCCACCCCGACAGCCCAACCCAAACTGGCGGTCATCCAGGAAGCACGCTTTGCACAAAACACACAAGGTATTCAACACGTCATGTTTTCTGAAGGCCGTGACTCACGAAAAATAAGGAAACACACCTCCATGTTCTCTTCTGTCAAAATATCCAACATGCCTCTGTGTGTGCACTCCAGGCTCACCTGTTAACAACCAGCCGGTCCTCATAGCGGTGCAGCGTCCATTACCTCAGACCATAAAGCCCATGACCTACACCATGGCGTCCCCGGTGAGCACCAGCACCTCCCAGCCAGCGGTCCAGACAGTCCACGTCCTGCAGCAGATCCCCGCAGGCTCACTCAGCCCCGCTGCCGTCATCACCCAGCCGGCCGCCATCGTCAAGAACGAGCCTCAGGAGAACGGAGAGCACGCAGAGGTCAAAGGTAAGGGGAAGGTTTTATCTGCTCACAATAAGCAAATCTTTGGCATCATTTTTGGAAAATCCATTTTCTTTACTCATGACCTTTTATCGTCCTGTTTGTTTCCAGTCAAAGTGGAGACAGTCCCCACCATTACCTCTATAGGCGGCTCCAGTCGTATCATCCAGACCACCCCACAGACCGTCACCATCGTGCAGCCCGCACCTCTTGGTCAGCACCAGCTGCCCATCAAGGCCATCACACAGAACGGCACCCACAGCATCACCACTGCCATCCAGGGAGCCGGCAGCTCTGGTAAGGAATCAGTTTGTTGTTTGGTTTCAGATAAAATTCACTTGGTTTGAATTTGTTAAATTTGGATATCGTACAGACGACAAATCAGCCACACATCAGCGAAGATGGAGAGAGGAAAAAAGGAGTGTGTAAATCCAGGAGTGTCTGAGAAGCCAAGGGACAGAATGAAAGAGAGAGGGTGTACCAAGCATTTACTAGACAACAACTAAAAGGTCTTGATGTTAAAGAGATATTCCGGCGTAAAATTAAGATCAAACACACCGTAACACCGAGTTAGACACCCCGCCAAGAGATTAATGTTGCCAACTGCTTGCTTCTCTAGTTATACCAACTTTAGTAACGACTGCACGATAGCAATACAGAGAGACATGCGCTCAACCAAAAAGCCGCTCTATAGCCACAAGTAATGCTCAGAACAGCACCTAACTTCATCAACAGTACATATAGGGTCCCAGCCATAGCACTAGCTACTAAACATCTTTTTACCTTTGCCTGATTTCTTTAGCAAATACTACTCACCCACTCTCTTCCAGCAGCCGCTTGCTTGTACGGAGATCTCCAGGCGATTCCATCTAATGGAGCGGGGTGACGCAGCTCAAGGAAGAACACTTATGATCGTTTCTTAATCATGTCCTTGAAGTAATAATCACCATATGAATCAATTTGCACTGCAGACACGGTAGTTCATCTGCCTTAGCGTCTTGGTCTGATTGCATTTCCATGAAGAAATTATCATAAATGTTCTTCCTTGAGCTGCGAACCCCCGCTGTAGTCCGTAATGAACTGGCCTGAGGTCTCGCTAGATCTGCAGCCTGTGATTGGATCTAAGTGATAAAAGAGCTGAAATCCTTCAGATTTCACTGATTTGTTTCATACTTTATCATCAGGCTCGTTACATTTGTACCATAATGATAGGGTTTCCTCCATTAACCCCGCCCCCTGTTCCCTTTTCAGCTACAGTCGTAGCGAGTCCCCTCCACCTGCTGGCCACCCACGCCTCCGCTTCAGCCTCCCTCCCCACCAAACGACAAAACGGGGACCAGGCAGCCAGTGAACAGCAGGACGCCAAACGCTGCAAAACAGAGAGCGACGAGGCGACCCCGCCCGCCAACACCGCAGACTCGGACTCGTCAGTGGCTAACGACTCCAGCAGCCTCGATTAGTCTGTACAACCCACACACCACAAACCCCGCCTCCACATCCATCACCACTCTGTCTCTCCTCCCTCACAGTTTCTCTCCCGTCCCTGTCGTTCGTTTTTGTTTCTCCTTCTTCTTCTTCTTCTTCTTCCTCCACTGACTCCCGAGGTGCCAAACGGAGACGTTTCTTTTATTTCACTTCCTGTTTGAGAGCGTCAAAAGGAAAAGAAAGTCCACCCCTTTACAGACCGGGTCGAGATCAAACAAAGAACTAAAGGTGTCACCTGTGAGCCGCTGAAACAGGAGAGTGACTCAAACCAAGATCACAGGAAGCCTTAACAACTTTAACCCTTAAAGAGCTGACCTTTGACCTCACGCCCTGCAGCGGGGAGAGTCTGCTCGGCTTGGGCCGGACGCCGCCTTTCTGTCACCTCTACCTCAGTGCAGATGGGAGACGCCGGCAGCCAGCGGAGGACAAAGCTCTTCCCGTCTGCCGGGTTCTGTCGGGACGGCTCTGGACCAACGGAGCGGCGAGCAAGATGAGAGCGGACGGTTAGAAAACAGAAATCCAGAAAGGGATCTAACTCGGAGCCAATATTCCTGAAACTGGCAGCTAGCCTCTCACATACTGACCTTCCTTTATCGCAGCTGTACGTAGATATGCAGTATTTTGTTGTCCAAATGTGGAGCATAGGATTTTTTTAATGTCTTTTCACTTATCTAGATAATTTAACAAAAGGAAGCGTACAAACCGACGAGGTCGAAGACATTTCGGTCATTAAGTTAGACTTTTTTTTTATGTGGACTTCTTTTTTTTTTCCGTTCGGTGAAACAGTGTACTAGTTTTCGTAATATTTGTTTCCTCTTTTCCCCTCGTTCTGACATATCCGTATAAAATCTCGCTTAGTTATTCCTACATATTTTACTACTTGCACAGATAACCGATATAAGCATATGAACTCTCCATGTGTAGTTCCAGATGTTGACCTTTGCATGTTTCCGACATCAAGAGAAAAGTTGTAAAAGTGAACAGAGGAGAAAAAAACGCTTTGTCCAAACCAGACCTGCACTTGATTCAATGTTTGTGTTCTCATCTCCCCCTCTCCTCTTTTGATTTCCCCCCCACTATCCTTCACCACCTCCTCCTCTTCCTCCCCCATCAGGCTGTGTTGACGTCGTGGTGTTGGCAGACCCCTCCTCGCCCACCCCCCTTCCTCCTCTTTGCTCGATTATTTTACTCTGTTCTGGCGACCCGGCGAGTCTGTTTTCTGATTGTACACGTTCCAACAATAGTAAAAAAAAAAATTGATGTTTGTTCAGCTTCAGTGGAGAAATGCTTTTTTTTAAATAAATTAATTTAAAGCCCTTTTTCGGCCTCTTTTGCTTCATGGGTTCACGTAGGAGCAGTTCCCCTCCTCTCCACAGGGCGGCAGCACAGGACTGCGCCACGGACTGTGCAGCAGATGAAGTTTGTCCTTTAACTCAACATGGCTGCATCCTGAAAACCCACACGAGGGTCATGTACACATGACAACTCAGGAACTTTTGATTAAAACCGGTTCAGCCCTTCAGTCCATGAATTATTTGATCACAGTTTTGTGTTTTTACTTTAAAACAAGTTAAAGAAAATCATTTCAATAACTTTTTTCCCTACAATATGTCATAAGGGAGTTATTTATCTGACACTGAGCATCAAAAAAAGCTTTTTACATTTAAAATAATGTTGGACGATGAAATCATGATAACCTGACATAATTTCAGAGCAACTGACATGGACACAGGAAGAAACAGTGAATAACAACAAAGATTAAGAAAACGACACTTTTGAAACTCTTAAAAAAAACTGATACAGCAACACAAAACCAACAACTTTCCTTCCAAAAGTTAATGAAAACACGTTTTATTTTATTTATTTATTTTAACTAAATACTCAAAAGAAATCATAGACTTACATCTCTGTCCTCAAATATTACCACACTCTCCTATTCCCTGATGAAAACAGTTTTAAAAAATATTTAAAAATGCTGTTTTATTAGTCTATTCCCTTTTGTTCATAGCACCAAATTGTGTAATGTAACAAAAAAAAAAAAAAACAAGGTGCAATCCATTTATAGGCCCATTGGTAAAATGTAGGCTAAAGTGCATGACTTCCACATGTGTACAGGTAGATTTTCAGTCAGAAAAAAATGCACATGGAAATATCTCGCACACCTTATTCAAAAAAAAAAAAAAAAATCTCAATTTTATTTCTTTGACAGTGAACAAATTTTAACATTTATTCCTAATGTACTGGTTTCATCCACTTATTTTAATGCATGAAATATCTCAAACTGATAACAAAAAGGGGGGACAATTAACATGACTGTACCACGTATGAAAGTTCAGTCAAAGTGAGTGGTAAAAACAAAAAGTAATTAAAAATAGATGCATTTTAAAAAGTGCTCATTGCACTTTTTTTTAGGATTATTGCACATTTAAGACATTTTTAACTGCACTAACATCCTTGCTCTTTTCTCCTGAGTTTTAAATTTGCGGTGGTGTTCCTGCACTACCAGCAGAGGGTGCTGCAGTCAGACTGTAGCAGCCCTCATTGTTTGTGCGTGTTAGTGTTAGTGTTGTTCTCATGTGTGATCTGGATAAACAGACGCCCTGACGACGACAATGAAGTCTGTGAAACAATTATCCAGTTAGCGCCCCGCGGTGCTCCAACATTCCTTTTTTGTGTTTGAGGAGCTAAAAAAAGAGTTAGCTGTAGCGGAGGTGTTTCCTCGCTCTGAGGAGGCGAGGGGAAAATACAGAGAGGAGATGTGCTGAAGGAAAGAAGCAACAAACTAAAAGATGAATCTCTGCAGAATTTGTTCAACACTTTTTTTATGCGTCTCATACATCAGAAAATAAAGCTTCAAAGTGGCAATATGATTATTTCACCGTTTGATAGAATTAGAGTTTATACTGTCATTTCCTGCACATCTAAGAATCAAAGTATTAGTTTAATATACATAAAGAAACATTTAAAAAAGAAGTATACGGACAGTGGAAGGAAACTTAAATTTACACATGCATACAGACAAGTTGTCCAACAGATGGAGGAAATAACAGAATGCTAATTAGCTGCACTTGTAACTGTTGATATTTATAATGATCCTGGAGGGAAAATGGAAAAGAAAAACTCCAATTAAATAGTTTGAATCTATAATGTGATAAGTTGAGTCTGTGGGGATTCACATGATCTACTCCGTCTGCTGACTTCTTAACAGAGTAGACGCTCATTAACAGGGAGCACTGCTGGCTGTTTGTACTCTCAGGTACGCAGAGGGACGGGGTGTGATTTAGTCATTTACATTTAAGATGTGTTGCTAAATTATGAAGAATTTACTCTTACATCTTTTTCTTTCTGTGTGCTGAAAGACCCGTTGCCTTGACTGCTTTTAGATTAGTATTTGATGGTGTTAGGTGGTCAAACACACTACACATACATTGAAGATTTATTCTTTTTGTATTATATTTTTTCAGACATACGGTACAAAGTGCTTTACATGAAGAAAACAGAAATATAAACAAACCAATCACCACTATGAGCCACAGAAATTAAAACACACTATTTCGCACTCAACAAACAAAATATACAAGGCTGTCCAGTTATAGTCAGTGTGCTCAGATGAATTAAAATTCACTCTTCAGCTCTACTTTTCCAGGTAAACAAACCCAAAACCCTTAAAAAAAGCCCCATTTTTAACATTTAGGTAAATCTAAAAGTCATACATCTAAGCATAATTTGCAGGTGCGATTTTTTCCCCCAGCAGTCCAATATTCTTCTCTTCAGATGCAAGTGCAATATGTCTACACAATTTGTTATTCCACAAGTAAATGTTCAAACCTACACAATTCAACCTACACAATTTACATTGGTGCAATGTGCAAAACATCTATTTTACAGTGCACAGTGCACCAATGTAATAAAACATACAATACATAATCCACTGCACAACACATGTATCCACCATGCAGTTTATTGTTTTTATTGTGGGTTACATATCAACAGTGCAATACATATTTGTATTCTTCATTTTGTTTTTTAATTCAGTCATGTTAATCAATTCTTTAAAAAGTTGTTATATGTCAAAAAGCTGAATAACTTTTTCTCTAAGTTTATAAACTCTTTAGAAATATGATTCTTCCAGGACTCCAACACTACAAACCGATCTTTTTCTACAGTTCATGACAGGTGCAGCATGAAAGGGGCTGTGGCATGAAAAACTGACTCTGTTAACGGGAGGGGGGGGGGGGGGGGGGTGCATACAAGGGATAGAAAACCGCTACAATCCCCCCAAGTTCGAAAAAATTCCATCTAGTCGTTTTTTAGTTATCTCCGTATTTAGGAACTGTGTGCTCAGAGCCGTTCTGAAAACTCCACTGACATGACGTCATGTCAGTGCTGGCGGGTTGATGGTACTGCCCACGGAGCCGCCCACTGCCCTGCCCAAAAAATTATCTTAACACCGCCATTATTCCCGGCCGCCCGCTCACGTAGCTCCGGTTAGAACCATGGCGAAAGTACGATCTGAAAAAGAGGCAGCGTTTGCTCTGTTGTTGGCTGCACAAACGAGCACAAAACTCTTTTGAAAACTCCCTCGTCGGAGGATTTGAGGACTCAATGGGTGGATTTTATTTATAATGTACCCGCGGCACTTCCAACATATCTTTACGTATGTGTGCACCATTTCACTTCGGACTGTTTTATCAACGAGGGACAGTTCAACGCTGGATTTGCTAGATGTCTGAAGATAAAGAATGGATCCGTACCAACTACCCGTGAACCTACTACAAACGTGGCATCTGTAAGTGTGAACGTTTTATTTTGACTTACTGTTTAGCCTAAATCCCCCCCGGTGCCTCAGCACGGCCACCACGCTTTAAAAAACACTCCGGGTCCGCGCCAGTTTACCGGATCCTCCCGTATTTTAGTCGCTCGCTTCTTCCCCGACAACTCCGACGGCGGGGGACAAAATCCCTTTCCAGAGCAGGATGTAGCTTTAGCATTTACCCGTGCGGCGACGCGCCTCTTTCGGCTCAAATACGGGACGTCCCGGCTAATGCTGGACGGTCGGCCATCCTATTAATTGGCAAACGCTTCAGAGAAGTTTTAGAGCACCAAAATCTTAGATTGTAGCAGAGCTCTGGTTGAAATATTTTCTACATTCATATCTTCCTCCGTAAGCATGACCCTCCTGGCGGCTTTGAATAATACATAGGATGTGTCGACTAGGTCGCTTCAAGTCGCGTTTGGTCTGAACGCGGCTAAGAGTTTCTTCCGGAGTCTCTCCCTCTGGGTCAGACTCTGGCTCAAACTGGTAGGATGTACGAGCGATCCTCTTGCAGCCATGACTGAGCCAGTGTAAACATTAGCACATGGCTATCGGAGCACAGCCATAGCCCCTTCCAGAGAGATGGGTGTAAAGTGGACGTGGCTTAGGTGCAGCTCATTTCATTGAAGAGACATGGGCCAAAACAGAGGATTTTGAGCGGAGCTGTTTTTAGCTGATAAAAAGAGCACTGACATAATTGATCCAAATCGAATTTTGACTGAAGGATGTCACAGACATGCTTTTGACACACCAGGGGACTATTTTAAGTTATGTGAAATTGGCATGCCATGGGACCTTTAAGCGTAATTTACTCTGTAATTTAAGTACATCAGATAATAAAAATATATATATATATCTGCATGCTGTTACACAATAAGGCCTTGATCACTGTATGTTTTACCTAAGTGAATTTATGTTACTCTCACACTGATATAAAGGATTTGACTTCATCTTTCACTTTGGCTCATGAGTTCAGACAGACGATGGGTTATTTTTACTCATGTCCTCAGATATCTCTCCTTTGGGCATAAAGAGTAGAATTAGAGCGCCCATGACTCTGGTTCAAGTGAGGATATCATTGGAACACGCATGTAGTTTGAATTTAACGTCCTAAATCTACAAAATCTCAAATACTGTGTTCTGAAGATAATATGAGGCAGTTTGTGGTCAGAGCATCAGTCTGGAACAGCCAGTTGCAGACTGTTGACAACACTGAAACCTTGTGTTTATAATCGCATTTATGATATTTACTGAAATGAGTCATTACCTTTAAATGAATGCAAGTACAACTCAACATCAATTACTGAATAAAATCACCATTACAGTAAACTTTTAACACCTCCGATCTCTAGAATTGCTGAAACACTGCAGTTCCTCTTCTGTCCACTAGAGGCTGGCTCCAAAGGTCCCAGAAGCCACATACACATCCATTCAAAACTATACGAAACATGTTCATTGACAGGAAACTATTTTGGTTTAAATGGTTCACTTTTCTATTTGCTTTTTTTCCTCACTATTTGTCAAATTTAAACAGAACGTTTTGAAGAATTTAAAATTACAAATTTCACATAACTAGGGGTGTGACTGACTTGACAAACAAGAAGATAAATTATAGCACTTTGAGTCTTGCTCAGTTAACCAAATGCTGGGTTGATGTTCCTAAAATGGCAACCATCATTCATTGGCTTCAACATTTCTGACAAACTAATTGCTAAGATTACATTTCAACTGGCTGTAAAATCCACTCACTTTGTGAGTCCGTCAACTTCATGGTGATAAATTCTGTTTCTGTGACATTCAGAAGCTTTTCTATCACCCAGAGAAGCTCAGAGTATTTTCAGAGACTGCGTCACCTGTGTCCCTTTGAAGCATTTACCTGCCCATTCACCTGAAGTGACCCTTGTGGTGATTGTGCGAGTAACAAAACAAAACCCCCAAAATAATATAGATAAAATGGCTCATACAAGAATAGACTAAGATAAGCAGAATCCATAATGGCATTGGTATCAGCAAAATCTCATCAAATCCCATCCCTAGGTATCTCACAACAAAGTCAGAATTAGAATAAATATGCAACATTTTTTAGCAAAACAAGCTGATTTTAAGTATCATCAGAAAAGATGAAAATTCCCAGAATAAATACTGAGAATTTCTCAAGTAGTTTTATCTTCTTGCAGCTCGTCCTTCAACAGCAGGCTCTCCTAACTCCTCAACCCTTTCAAAATAAGAGTTATGTAACAGCTGTTAGAGTGACGGTTTGATGGGTTGATAACTGGAGACAGGAGGGCAGCTCTGCATGTAAACACCGAGCAGCATGGAGTCTGACAGAAACCAGGGGAAGAGGCAGCAGCAGTTCTAAAATAACAGGAGGAGGGGGTAGATTGTTATAAACACATCGGTGCTGCCTTCACTGCTGCATGTGTAGGTGTAGTCACCATAGAAACCAGGAGCTTACTGCAACTGTTGAGTGTTGATACTCTGGAAGCTGGTTTAGAGATGATGAAGAGTGTGCCATCTGTCCAAAAATAACCAAAAATTCTGTTCTGCATGATTCACTCTTTTACTAACTCAAGTTTCAGAGTGTCCTCCTTCGTCTTAGAGCAGATTCAGCCTGAAAAACAAAAACTTAACCCCTCACAGACTCCAAACTAGAGCCTGATGTCTCTTATGAGCTGTTCTCTTAGGTCATGAGGCCGCTCCCTGAGCGTATTCCCAGAGGAAAACTATTCCAGGACTCTAATCCTCTGATAGTATCTGCTCTCTATGTCGAGCTGTGGCGCCTTAAAGCTGCTGCTCCCTGTGAGAATCATCCTGAAAACCCTGAAAAGCTATAAAAATGAACATTTAGACATAAAAAATTACTCTAAAGTCACATTTACAGACATGCAGCATGCAGAGCTAAAAGAACACTCCTTGTTACACAAACTCTCGCTCTCCACGTGGATTTCTTCTTGTGATCCTGCTATTTTTAGAGGCCAAATCCAGTTATTTGGTAATTATTGAAATCCCTGTTTTGACATAACATGGCAGAAAACAACAAGTCCTTCAGTCCTCACAGAAGTGACGGAGATGTTCTGCCTGCGAGCTGCAGCTGTACTTTTAAAAATATTATCCTGTTTTAATGGATGCTCTTTCCGCTTTGGTCTCTTTGGGCAGGGATCAGTTCCTGACCTTTGGACTTCACATTTGCTGTTAGCGTACAAAACTTTTTATGAGGTGTTATTGTACATCAACTTTCTCATGTAGTAATATCAATGTTGTGTCATTAGCAAAGTTATTTATGAACATCACTCTGGTGTTAAACCCTTAAGCACAAGTCAGGAACACTAGCTAAAGCAATATTTTTGTATCTATTAGCTTTTAACCTTGAAGAAACAGCCACGTATTGTTAAACCCAACTTCCCAAACCCAACTACGCTGGAATAACAGTTCTCAACTCGAAAACTGCAGCCATCTTGGGATCATGCAAATGCAGGGTCAGTCACGCCTAGGGTTGGGCATTGAGTCTCGAGCATCGATGGGGACTGGGACTAACATTCCGATTCTCCCGGAAGTTTCCGGCAAACACCAATGAGCAAGATGCCGCTAAACACCAACGAAGAAGAACCCGGCGAACACCAACGAGGACGAAGCGTATGAGAGGGAGCCACACAGAGAGAGAAGAGAGACAGAGAGAGAGAGTACATTGCAAAACCCTTAATTAGAAGGCAAAAAGAACAACTCTGGTTAGCACCCTCATTTACAACCTTGCATTATTATTATTTTTTTGAGATATCCTGCCTTTTAAAAGAATCGGAATAGAGAATTGTTAGAAACCGGAATAGAAACTTGGAATCAGAACCAAAATTGGAATCATTTGAAATCAAACGATACCCAACCCTAGTCACGCCTGGTTTTGCTCTCCACAGGCTTTTTTCTTCTTGCAAACACCAAAGCATGTGAGACATGATAGGTTTATACTACTTGAACTCTAAAAACACTATAATTCAGAACCACACCCCTGCACTAAATGACACGAAAACCATCGAAAGATATTGAAGAGCCAAAATGTAAGCATCAGAAACGCTGCAGGAAACCTGGTGTAAAACTGCAGTGCTCCTGCAGACCACATGATGGCAGCGCAGAGCCAAGCATGCAACCATACACACATTCACACATTTGGCCCTCACCCACTCTCACACTTACACACAACAACAACAAAGTCACAAGTGCTGCACCGGATACCCGAGTGTTCACAGCACTGCAGAGCAGAAGTGTCATCCCTGCTAAATTTAATGGAGGCTTTTTTTTTTTCACTCTCTCGGCCTCTCCGCTGCTCTGACATCCTCTGGCAGCCGTGTGGCGGCCATTTCTGTCAGCAGCACAGAGGGAAGAGGAGGACAGAGGGGTGAGGGTGTGATGGAGCAGAGTGGGAAAGAGAAAAAGCAGTGAGGGGGAGAGATTCGGGGGGAGATATGTGGGTGGTTTTGGTGCTGAGAGGAAAGATGCTCAACTCTCAGAGGCTTTTTGCTTCCAGATTGAAGAGCTGAACTGCAGGTGATCATGTGTGGAGAGTATAACCTGTGTAACCAGAACATAAAGGACTCCTGTGGATGTCCAGGAACATCGCCCACAGCTGCAACAGTGACATGAGGACACTAAAATCAATCTGAAGCATCTCACTGAGAGGCCTGAACATGCACACACTCCGCTCCGCTGGTGTTTACATGCTAATTAGATGCTAACAACACTCGACATGCCAAGTACAAGCTGCTCCTGCTTTGTGTCAGCGTTACAGGGAGAGTTCTGTTTCCTCACTTGGTCTCCATCTTCTCTCGGAGCAGGCGGTGGACGGGGTCGGACATGTGGCCGGCTGCTGCTTGCCCCGGGTGTTTTAAGGCTGGGATCAAGCAGCGCCTCCAGGTCAACAAGTGGTCTAAAAACATCACATGAGATCTTCTTGGACTGACATCAGAGGCACCTTAAGGAGGAGTGCAGTGGGTTTATCCATCCAGTGAGGCATTTGAAGCTTCCTTAAATACGTCTGGAAGACCAGGAGCAGAATTTTACTCCATCGAGAACAACATTTTTTACGAAACCTAAAATGCACCCAAACCAAAAAATATCCTATCCACACTAGAGATACTTTTGAAAAATAATAGCAGTACTGGGCAGACCTAAAAAGAAATGTTTGCTTTCAATCTTGATGCATGTGAAGTAAATTTAAAACAACAGTTAGCATGTGCAATCAGTGTTGCCAACTCCTCAGTCAGGAAAGTTGCTAGTGGCTGTCGTAAAAGTCAGCAGAAGTCGCCATGTGACGTCCACCTAGTTTGCATAATTTCTCAGTCAAACCCACCGCCGCACCCCCACCCCCTCATGTTAGAGCCTCTAAACTCCAGAAAAGTTGCTAGGTTTGTTGCAAAGCGCTTTTTTGAAAATAAGTTGCTAGGGGTGTCTGAAAAGTTGCTAAATCTAGTGACAAAGTCGCTAGGTGGGCAACACTGTGTGCAATCGTGTCAGTGTTTCCAAAACCTTTGTTTTAACCACCTGTGCAAAAAAACTAGGCAGAATTTATTGAGATGTCCACCTTGGAAAGTGTTTTAAAAAACTTCGGTCATGGTCGTTCCTGCACAACACATCTTAAAAGCGGAAATGTTACTGACGGACCTCTGAAAACTAGAGCTCTGAAATCTAAGCTTTCAGTCTGGAGGTCATGAGGCATCCCAGATGAGGTTGTGACTGTTGTTCACACACTGCATGAGATACAACGATACAATTCCAGTGCAAAGCTGAAGTCTGCCAGATCGGTCTGAAGAAATGCAAGTTATGTAAAGCCTGATCTTCATCCTCTCCGTAGAAATCCATGACCAAACTGAAAGCTTCAAATCATCAGTTTTCTCCAAATTACAAATGATTTCTTAGTTTCTCCTAATGACCACAACACCAGAGTTCGCAGAAAACTCTTTTCAGGAATCTCCCACTACATTTTCCGTTGGCACCAAAAACTGCTCCCACTGACCCCAACAAGTAGCCAAAAAATTCACGCCAAATTTAACTGAAGTCTGATGACAGATTTTTATGCAATTTTATCGTCATAGTAAACAAACAGGGGCTTTTCATTTCTGCTCAAACAAGATTAGGATTCTTCTGCTCACGTCAAAGTGAAGCCAGCACATCTTGTGGAAAATATAATAAGAATGAGACCGCTTCAAATTATTGTAATTGTTTCATCATGACCTGTTTTTCTGTAAACATTTGGTGGCTGTCCTCTCAGAAAATCCATTTCGCAAAGGCTTCCAAGAACAATCTGTGACAGGGGACTTTTTCATCCGCTCGTCAGCAGTCTCTGTTATAATCAGGCCATTGTTGAAATGCCGAGTTGTGTTTGTTTGTGTCCTTTTTTTTTTTTTTTTTTTTTGGCTACGTTTTTAAAGTCAGTACTATAATTAGCGCTGACAGTAAAATGTGTTAAATTCAAGTCTTTCAAATCCAAAAGAAACAGCTGCTGGTGTCTGAAGTTATTGAAGCAGGCAGGCATTTATTTCATAACAGTCAACCCAACATCTCATGTCCACTTGGCCCGGTTACAAGAATGTTTGAAACCAAGCAGTGGATAACTCTGTATCGCTAACATCAACTCACCACATTATCCAGTGGCGTTTCCACTAACAGTGAATAATTCTTCCTGTTAGAATAAATGAATGAGACACTGGTTCTCAACTGACCTGAAAACCTCAGGACTAGGCCTGTCACGATAACAAATTTTGCTGGACGATAATTGTGCTACAAATTATCGCCGATAAACGGTATTATTGACACCATTTTTTAAATTATAGATAATGATATTATATGGCATAATAATGCGAGTACACCATGTCAAAAGTGATAAACTTTAATTTCCACACGAGAACAACACTGGTTGTTTTCGTTGACTAAAATATTTCCCTTTTCTCCCACGACGAAGACGTAACGTTGACGAGCTAAACATAAGTCGGAGATGACTATAATGTGACGAGACGAAAGTGCGTTTACGTTGATGGGACGAGACGAAAATGACGAACAGAGTTGCAAAACTCAGTCAGTTAAACGCTAAACATATAGGAGCAGCTTCAGTCCGCTCTGACAGCTCTCATCAGCCTGCTGTGCTCCTCCAACACACAGACACACACGCACGCGCGCGCGCACACACACGTGGAGTTTTGTGGTTGACGAAAACAAAACTGGTTTAAAGCCGAAATATTCCCACACTTGGGCTGTTGCGTTCGGTTTTTATACACCAAAGCTGTCGTGTTCATTCTGTTAGCTTGCTTTTCACTCACGACGCTCACTTGCAGCACTGTATCCAAAAAGTCTGTGTCTGTGTGCCTGTGCGCGCCTACGTGTACCTGTGCGCGCGCGCCCCCTCGTAACAAAGACACTGAATGACTGACAGGAGGGTTCACTAACTCCGTTCATTCCGCTATAGAGCCAACGCCCCCAGGTGCCGAGAAAAATGCGCAGAGTGAGACCTCTTCTCTCATCCAGCGTGTTTGGTAGCAAGAGAGGAGGAAAACAAACGCACGTCAATTATTTAGGCTGGCAAAGTTATCGACCTCGTTTTTATTTATCGAGCGATAAGGCGATTTATTGATTATCGCGACAGGCCTACTCAGGACTCAACAGAGGATATAAAATATGAAGTGTAATCTATTTTTTTTTAGTCCACCAGAGATAAACACACTCAAGAACTCGCAAGTCTGAGCAACACATCGTGAGTGATGCAAGGAAAAACTTTTTTTGTACCTCCAGAAGATTTGAAGTACCCAAAGAAAGAGATACGTTCATTGGTATTCATGATCCCCAGAGGATAATTCAAAAATTTGATACCTCAGGAGACCTTTCCTCTACCAACACATTTAAAAAGGTTTTTACAAAAATTATGTTGCTTTTGAATTTTGCTTTGGAAAGTCTCGATCTGGGGTGAAATTTCTGCAATTATTGAATAGATCTCTTGAAGCTATCCTCTTATATTGATGCTCCTCTGAAGGTAAACCCTGTCCCTTTTGGGCACACCAGTTTTTTTCTGCTCATCTGGGATCAGGTTGCATGTGCAGAAGTCCTAGCAAGTCAACCCAATCCTCCCTCTTCCCAGCAATGAAGTCCAGCTCCTCTTCTGGGATTATCTGCCTGGATAAATAATGAAATTCTTCCACCAACCCTAACCCTAACCCTAACTGACTACCTCAGATGCAAAAGAGCAGCAGCTCTCCTACATGTTCCCTCAGGATTTCACAAAGACGCTCAAAATAAGCCAAGAGATAAAGATGCCACCATGCCTAGAGGAGGGATACCAGGAAACCCCCATGAAGCCAGACCAGGGGTTTGGGTTCAGCTGAGAGGCAGTCGAGGCAGTAGGCCAAGGCATGGTGATCCCCAGTGGCATGGACCGGTTCTGGACACATAAGTCGGACAAGTTTTAGTATAGAACTTCTTTTTAAAGAGTATATGAATGTTGAACGAGAGACGAATGTTGCAGGGGAACGCAGCTCAAGGAAGAACATTTGTGATCATTTCATATTTAATCCTTGAATCATCATATTAATCATTTTGCACTGCAGATGCAGTAGATCGGTCTGATTGCACTACCATGAGGAAATTATCATAAATGTTCTTCCTTGAGCTGTGTACCCCCGCCATGGACTCACCCGGAGGTCTCCTCAACAAACAAGCGGCTGCTGGAAGAGAGTGGGTGAATTGTGTTTAGTCTCTTTGCTAAAGAAATTAGACAAAGTTAAAAAGATGTTTGGTGGCTAGTACTATGGCTGGGACCCTATATGTACTGTTGATGAAGTGAGGTGCTGTTCTGAGCATTATTTGTGGCTATAGAGTGGCGTTTTGGTTGAGCGTGTGGCTTTCTGTATTGCTATCGTGCAACTAAAGTTGGTAAAACTAGAGGAGCAAGCGGTCGGCAACATTCATCTCTAGACGGGGTGTCTAACACTTTGTTAGGGCAAGTGTCTTTATTCTTTTTGCCTCTTTCTTTGCAGTTGTTGTTCTGCCTTGTTCTTTGCATATGCGAAAGTGAAAGTTCACAAATGAAATATTTAAAAAATGTGTCTACTGTGAGTTACAAGCGCAATATTTCCAGAAAAAGTAGGGTGCACATCATAGAAATTTAAGTACAAATGCTTGACCAGCTTCCTTCTTAGTTCTTTAATTGCATTCTTCACTGAGGCGGCTGACAAAGCTCTTGAAGATAATTTATCAGGGCCACAGGAGAGGCAGAGCTCTGCCGGCCTGTCGCCTCTTAATTGGCCAGTGTCGCTCTCTTGCAGCTCTCTGCTCGGAGATGGAAAGTCTCCTCTCAGTTCCCAAGGAAACTGCTTTCACACTGCAGCTGCTGCCAGCGTAACGCTCGTGGGCTTCAGCACGGCCAACACGCAGACACAGTGTTTCAGGCAGCGATTTTTCCTGTAGTAATTGATTCTTTCTCACTGAGCTGAATGCACTGCAGCTGTGTGAGAACCATCACCACTGTCCTATAACAGGACTTCCTGTTGTGGCAAAGATCACATCTCGCACCATTTTCCCGTTTTGTAACGCTCACTTGACAACATGATATAAAGGCTTTGTTGAATTTGTTGCATCACGTATCCAAGACTACCAATTCTCTGATGACAGAGCCTTTCATAACACATGAGACTGCTCATGTTTTCAGGAGGAAAGCACCTGTACATCCGAAACAGGCCGAGAGTATTCTGTAACAGTCAACAAATGACATTAAGACACAAAAAACAAGCCCACATGAGAGTGCTCTGCTGTTAATGAAAAAGACTCTAAACCATTTACGCTTCTCTGCGTGGCATGTCCCTTCATTATTATTAACACACGCTGTAGTTTATTTTCTGACTCAATCCCACGCACATCGTCCTGCTGGCCCAAATACTCACTAAAGCACCAAATGTGGACTAATCTGGCACTGAAAATAGTTCCCAGCAAATCCACTGTTAACTCTTGTTGGAGTTATGTTTGCTGTTTACAACAACACCAACTCAATAAGAGTCAGGAGGCTGTGTAAAATGGTGATAAAAACTGTTTTCTTATTGGTTTATAAATCATTGAAATCCTTTAATTGATTGGAAATAGTGCAGAGATGATATTTCAAATGTTTGACGTGAAAGATGTTTTATGAAAAAGATAAAAACATTCAAGGGTTTAGACGAAACAGTGCAAAACTTATATAATATTAAAAAGCACAATTATAGGAATTGATAAGATCTTACCGACGTCAATGCCATTATCATTTCAGTTTATCAATCAGATTTTTTTTTTTAATGCCTTTATCAATTGTGGATTTCTTGTGGAAAAAAGTCAATCTGTAAATGTCTTTTGGCACCAAAAACACAGTGCCAGTTTTGTTACTTCTACTGCTGTGCTGGGTAAGAGAAGCCTGTAGTGGTCTGACCGATAACAGTTTTTCAAAGGCCAATAAAATCAATCATCAATTTGATAGCATCAACAACCAACATAGGTGGTTATCTTAGCCAGTAAATTGGTTCAAATGAATTTTGAATTATTTTATTAAATATGTTGGTTATAGATATGAGAATATGACATATTTATCTCAGAGGCATTATAAAACTCCACTATGCTAATTCATTACTTCACACAACATAATGATAACAATATTTAACACATGGCAAAAACTGTTTGATCTGATCTACTGTCAGTTATGATGGGAAAAAATGTGCTACCTATCAAGAGGAAGCTGATCACTTCCAAATGCTCGACAAATCGACCTCAGTAGTTAAGTCTATCGCTAAAAGCCTGTCCTCTGAATGGGCTTGTAAGGGTTAACTGATTGTATCATCATCCTGTTATTGGTTGACAACCACCGCAGAGATGGCCGCCTTCAATTGGCATTCTCGTCTTACAATACAAATAACACTGTTTAGCTAAAATAGCATGCATAAGTACGGCTGTTTGTGCAAATTCTGTGCAACAAGGCTACATGCAATCACACTAGGCTTGTGCAATTCACACCTCCGCTTTTGCACTATAACGCTTTGGTGCTTAACCACTGGCCTTTGCACTTTGAGCATTTAATGCAAATGGGTTCTGCCTTTACACCTGTTTTATTTTGAGCAAAGCTGTACAGCCGGCTCTTGTATTATTGCATGTGGGTCTAAATAAAGTAATGCCGTTCATGAGGTCTGGTTTTATGTTCTTTTTTCATGTACATGCTTGATGTACATTTACCTGTATATTTTTACCATCAACCCGCTGTGGATTAAAAATGAAAATAAGCGTATGGCTACAATCTGTGTGTGAGATCACGTTGCACAACCACCATTGTGCTGACATGTAACATCCATGTGCCTGATGTCCACTCATGATGTGAAGTGGTCTCCTTAGGGCTCTGATCAACACACTTCAGCTTTAATGGTGATTGGGTAACCCTGATTAGAAGGACATGCTGGTTCCTTCTGCCCATGTGAGCTGGACCTGCTCCCTTCTGTCACTTATACAAAGAAAATGTTCAAAGGTAAATACCATTGTTCATTTTCATTGATTATTACCACATCCTCTTTGGCATTTCACAGCAGGTTTATGGTACCTGCTTTTGTACTCCAGCTGTTTTTTTGTCTTCACTGGTGATTAAACCGAGGAGAAAAAAAACACTCAAACGCACAAAGAAATCTAATGAAATCTGCAGCCAATTAACCTTTATGGACTGTGGGGAAGGAATTTCATTGTTAGTGTAAAATGCACACGACACAATCAATGAATCCAATAGTTCAATACGAGCAAACTTGAGGTTTTTAACAATCTTTCAAAACTAGCCTTAAGACCTTGTTTAAAAAAATGTAATCTCACAATGCACAAAAAAATCTGAATTAATAATAATAAAAATTAGTGACAAATGACAAAAAAAAACACCTTAATACAGTCCGATTAATGAAAAAAATGTCCTCTTGTAGTTTGTTAGTTTCCCCCCAAAAAAAATCTAATGTATCAAACAAGATAAATAAATATATTTGTTAAATTTAAAGAACATTTTGATGTTTTTGGTTTTCAGTAGTAAGTGAAATAAACATTTCAGCTCCAAAAGAATTTGAATTTTCTGGCCATAATTTGTGGTGTCAGGCATTAAAGGCTTAAAAAAAAGATTTGGAAATCATTTTCAAATATACAGATTTGAAAATAAGCTCTCCAACGTACTGTAATATTGTCAGTTGTCTCTGCAACATAGTTTATGATGATGATGAATCTTTGCCCCTTTTTTAATCAACAATCAGCTGTAGCTTGAGTTTTCTGCAGCCTCATGATTAGACAGATGGAAATCACCTGTTTTTACTGATTGCGGTGTGACCAAAAACAAGCAGCAGAGAGATCTGACTTTCAGTGAGCAAAGAGCTCTGAGCACCAAACAGCTAAAATACTGCAGGGAGAATGTTTAAAAGCTAAAGATGAACAGAATCTCACATTTAAAGAATTGAAGTCCCCGAAGAAAGATTTTTGCTGCGTCCGAACTGCCCGCTCGGATACTACATGCTACTGCTACGTGCTACTGCTAGATCCTACTCCTACATACTAAAAACGTTGGCCCAATTCGGACACACTAGACGAGCGGTGGGGAAAGACGACTCCCGCAGGCAGAGAGTAGGTACTGCGCCCGTGCAGACAGTGGTAACTGAAGCCCCTCATCTGCGGGCCTGGCTGTAGTACTGCAGCTGTGCTGTTTAATGATGGAATAAGTGAGCTTTACCTCCATGATGTCGCCACTTGCTCATAAAATGATTACTTGGGCAAATATGACACCATGACATAACAAAGAGATACAACCGCACATTTTTTAGGACAGTGTGTGAAGTTACATGAAACTTACATCTGTACAGCTGCGGTCCCGCCTGCTGCTGCTCCGACATGGTGCGCGCTGCTGTGGCCAGCCGGCGTTCGCGACACATTTAAATAGGCAGAGCAGCTGGTGGCGCTAGCATCACATGCGCTTCTACAACTTTTAAGAGGACGAAGAAGAAGCCCGCGGTGCATTTTGGGTCAGTAGCATGCCCGTAGGATGCACCGAGACCAACCTACAATGTGGGCGTGTCTAGCATCTGAAGTAGTATCTGAAGTAGCATGCTACTCGCTCCGGTGGCCAATTCGGACATGCTAGATACTACTTCGACTACTACTTCGACTACTACTTGGCAATTCGGACGCAGCTTATGAGAAGGTCTGCTGTCTTACAGGGTTACTAGATCCCTGTTTAGAAACTTGCCATCATGTTCCTGATAGAGGTTCACAAACAGAAATGAATGAGGCACAAACAGAAACAGCCTTTGGCTACAGCTGCTCTTTTGTGTGCGGTAGTTTGTGTATTGTTTGCTGAGTGAGTGAGTGAGTGAGTCTGTAACGTAAGCTGACATGGACATCGTTCCCCCTCCACAGTGAGGGAGGACACAGGGGAGATAGTAAATGTAGGGAAAACAAATGCACTGACACACTGCAACTATAAACAAGGAAATTCAATAAGCAAGTTTTGTAAAGTCGCTTTGAATTTGGGATAAAACACAAAACCGTGTGTGAGTAGGCTGAGCATGTCTTCACCTGTCCCTGACTTCACTTCACGCTGACACTGAGGAGAAAAGACTTTTCATTTTGCAAATTTGCCTCCTGGTTGTTGCCTTTCTCTTGCAAATTCTGCCTGGAGGGAGCCAAGTTGCAAGGAAATGAGACAAGGAGATGTTTTGAATGTAAAGCACCTCTTCTCATTTCTTAACACCTTCTAATTTTATCAGTTTTCCAGCTTATTTTTCTGTGTAATTGTTTTTTTTTTCTTTTTCTTTTTCTTTAAGTGCGACTTGTTTCAAACTCCAGCACATAAACAGTCTCACACCTCCACCCAAAAGACCAAGATTACAGGCCATAACTATTGCAAATAGTTCCTGACTGTACATGACTTTAAAGATCATGTGCACAAAAAAAGTCCTGTAAAAAGGGTTCAGAGGCAAGGTGATAACATCCATGTGTGCTAACACGTGGACACTCGTTCTGCTGATACTGTGCTCACACACTGATATCGATGAGTTTCTGAGTGTCTTTCGACAGCTGCATGAGACTAACCAGCTCTAAGCTGAGGTCAAAGGTCGAGCCTTCTTCATAATCCCTGATTCAGTTTGAGATAGAGGAGAAGCATTTCAGCTAATCCATGAAGACAAAGCTCAGACCGTCTTTTACGAACATCTGAGCCGCCATTGTTCGCGCAGTGGTGGGAAACAGTATTTCTTATCACCACGGGACATAAAGACTTTGTGACACTGGGACACATCTACAAATACAGATACATTGGTAATCCTTTTATTAACCTAGATGGAGCAATAAACTATGCTCACAGATTGATTGATTGATTGATTGATTGATTGATTGATTGATTGATTGATTGATTGATTGAGTGAAGTTTATTTCGAATATGTGAACCAAAAATATAAAAAATAAAACAAGAAAAGTAAGGCAAAGCATTTAAACATAAAGCATAGAAATACTGTACATGTTGGAAAAGAGGTGAAAAGCAGAATAACTTATAAACTCCCACCTCTTCCCTTTACATAATAAGTACCCACAACAAGCTTCCTCGCAACTTGCTTAGATGTACCTGATACTTATAGATGAATAAAGTACGTCCATAACTTTGTATTACAAAACAAAATCTACATCCACCTAATACAGCACACACATAAAAACAAACAACAACAAAAAATAAAACAAGAAAGAAACAAAAAAACAAAAATAAAACAAAAGAAACAGATAATGGCTTTTAGAGGTGATTTTACTTCTTGCAGGGACTTCCACTACAGAGTCATGCCTATTCATTAGGAGTAAAATTCAAGAGAAGTTAGATATAATGTGACACTCTTCTTGCCTGGCTGGGCCATCCTGTTGCGTGAATCACTTGCCGTTCCTTCACAAAACAGTCTCGACTTCGGCCCATTGGGAGCGTGTATTAGCGATCAGAAAATAACCGGGCCAATCAGTGACTGTGTTTCCACTGTTCCCTAAGCCCCTGATTGGTCCATGTGTGGATGGTGACGTCTAACACATGCTGCGGGACTTTTCAAAGCGCTGTTCATTCAGGACGCTGTTAATTCTGCAGTTGACTTTGCAAAGTCGGCAGAAATCGTTTATATCCGCAGAAGATGTTGGATCTAAACAATTTCTGACGACTCTCTACTAATGGGTCAGAAACTGTTGTTGTCCCAGCTTATCACAGCCTGCTCAGAAACCAATGTTTATTTGTGATTCGTTTCAAGGCTCCCCTTGGTGATTGTATTAAGGTCCATCTTTCCTGTTGTTTAACTCCATTAAAGTAAAGGTAAGGTCTTACACACTTCGGCGTCCATGTCCAATCAGTGTGTAATACTTGATATATAGGCGTGTCCTTCAGTGTAAAGACTTCTGCACTGCATTGTTCTTATGTGTCCTCAGTTATCGCTCCTCTGATTTCCCTCCTCTCTCTGTGATCCTCTCCCCTCCAAGCTGTTACAAAGGCCATTGTACACTTCTTGACGTCACTTTTTTGGTTTGGCAGTAGAAGTGAGATAAGGTGATTGTCAACTCAACTTTAAGCTGGATGGACAAGTTTTTTTTCCTCTTTTTCAACTCCAAGGGGGTGATTTGAAGCTTTTCCATAGGACTGTCACATTTTTTGACACTGAAGAGTTTAGTTTTCTGCATACCTTAAGTTAATGACTCCAAGCGGCGTTTCTAGTAAGGAGGAGGTCATGCTAACAACCCAATGACCTTCAGTTCAGTTCAGAGAGAGAGTGTGAGTGAGAGTGTGTGTGTGTACAGCTGTCTATTTTTACCATCTAGTGAGGGTCCACATATATATCCTGCTGCTGGATGCAGAGTGCTGACATATCCTACATGTCCCTCTCAGATCTTCACCTCAGCTTCACACCCTAACCCTAACCCCCTAACCCCTGATTTAAAGATGATTTTAAAAAGATTTCCTTTGGTTTGAAAAGTAGTTTCTACATTAATGGTTCATCACATTAGCCTTTTTTTCTGTTATGAATGACTCGACACTGAACATTTTTCATCTCCAGTTTTTTGCTTTATGTTTGTTGTCTTCGATTTGGTTGATGTCTCTTTCATTCAGCTCCCTCGTTCCCTTGCCTTTTGTGGGTGGTTTTCCTCTTCTTATTCTTTTCTTTGCGAGTGTGCTCCCAATTGATAAAAAAGGATATAAAAATATCTGCCATGTTTACTGAGTAATGAAACTGACTCCAGTTTTTATCTCTTCTGCCGAACATGGTTTTTCCACAGTGCAAAATGTACCAGGTTGGTGCAGAGTAGTGTAAATTGATGTTCATTGGTGTCATTCCTGTAAGCCAACAAGAACTCACTTCTAATCATGTGTTTGCATCGTTTCTTTCAAACATGTGCGTGGTTAATTCATGTTTGGCATAAACACAACATAAGACTTTAATTGATTTAAGAATAGCTGCAAGAATTAACGCCGATCACCAGCTGTCGGTTACATTCTAAGGAAGCCCATTTCGGTTCGTTATTAAAGGAAAGCAGCTGACAAAATGAAAAATAAATAAATAAATACATGTAAAATAATAATGTAGTAAAAATTAAAATGATCAAAGAACTAAGATAAAAGGTGAAATCATAGAAAAGTGAGCCATATTCTTGTGATATTATCTCTATGATAAAATAACAAGTCTAAAATTACGTGATATAGAGTAAAAATTATATGAAAAAAAAAATCAAAATTCTGGGATAGGTGGTCATAATTAAGAGAGCCTATGGACTCAAACGCTAACCCTAAAACCCTAACCCCTAACGTTTATGTAAAGTCTGATATTTAACCTCATAATCTTGATCTTTTCTCTCATATTTTTCCTTTTTTTCTCAACTATGACTTTCTAATATCACAAATTGAAGTTCCGTCATTTTTTTACCCCATAATTATAATTCCCATCTCATAATGATGACTTGTAATCTCACTTTTGGCTCTATTTATGACGTTTCATCCCATTTTAATGACGATTTATCTCATTTCCTGGACATAATAACAAATATCCCTTTGAGGATCAATAAAGTTCTTGTATTGTTTTGTATTGTATATCTCCTCGTTATGACTTACCAACTCATAATGTGGTCTTTTATCGTGTTATTGCCTTTTATACTTTCAATATGACTAAAAATAAATAAATAACATTAACAGCAGCACTCTGAAAAAACTTGACTGAACACAATTAAGCAAATGACCGGCACTTATGCAGGATATCCAGCTGTGCATGGAGAGCCCTGTTTACAGATTAAAGTGTTGACTTTTTCTTCTCATAATTATGACTCTCAGTTTGATTTTTTTATCCCGCAGGTTTATTCTCTATATTTTTGATTCTGACTGCAACCAGCTTTGACTCAATGTACACTTCATAAATATCACCTTCTTTCCCATTATTGACGTTTTAGCGTTACTTTCACATGACATCGACTTTGTATTCCATAACTTTGTATCTTACAGTCAACTTTTTATCTGATAATTTCATTATTTTATGTTTTTATTTGACATTATATCTTAGAATCTGACTAAAATTACTTGTGTCTCATAATTTTGATACTTTATGACTTTTATCTATGACTTTATATTTATATGTTTGTTCTTTTTTTCCTCTTCAGCTAGTGTAAATGAGCTTCCCTTATTTTTTCTGTGTGGTTGGGCAACCTGTGCTGCTTGTTTTGGCCCTGAATGTGACAGTGTTGAACTTTGGTACTCGAGGGAAAATAGAGGAGACCGCGGAGGAGCTCATGTTTAACAACCCAGACAGGCTGTGATGTTTTGAACCCAGAGGTAAAAGAGCTGAGGGCAAATGTTTCGCTAAGAAAGACATTTTCTTTTTATGAATTTGTCACATGAAGCTCGAACAGGAAACCCAACAGGATGAACCTGCAGCTTTTAAAGTAAAGTCCGATTTTTAAATATTAAACCAGAAAATAACACTTTAATCCCTTGAAATAATACACTGAATTAACATCAGTGTCTTGAAGACAAAATTCGTGTTTTTCGGCTGGTGGAGAGCCCCGGATGATTAAGAGTAATTGGCTGTTAGCAGCACTCACTAATTAGTGCCATTACTAAACATAACCAGGCCTGATCAGCCTGTAATTAGCCTCTTAATGACTATGTGAGACATTTTTAATGAATCCAGCAATACATTAAAGAAAAATGATCATTATTAGTAACTCTGAGACAGTGAGAGGGGTCTTATTCGTGAACGTGGCTTGATGCACCCAGTTGTTTGTTTTCGTCTTTTAGAAAATCCTCCTGCAACAAGTGCAATATAAGGTCATACCTGCAGCTCTGAGAGAGATCAGAGAAAACGACACAAAAGTTTGAATAAAGCAGGGATGAAGAAGTGCAATAAGAAGGTCAGAAAGTTTTCTTTGCCCAGATTGATGGTATGACACATGTTTGAGGCCCTGTTCCTGTGAACTGCATTCCTTGTGCAGGGAGGCCTCCAGGATAGGGGCTCGCTGCAGTATTCTTGTGCCTGCCTGTTTAATCACATTTACAGGAGGGGAAAAGCCGTGGCTGGGGAGCTACAGGCCCTCTGGAGCGGACTCCACAGCTCACATGGCTTACCATGCTCTCTGCCCGCACAGTCACGCCTCTCCCCCGCCTGAGTCCTTACACGAACTGACGCTCAACCCGGTCTGCAACGCCTCCTGATCTGCCTGGACTCCTCCTCCGGTCCGCCTCCCCGCATGAATCCACTCCAGGTCTTCTCTAGAGCTTGTTCCCTACTTCGAAAGTAGGTCACTGTTTGCTTTGTATTATTCAGCAACTGGAATGATTGTGCGGTGAGGGTTCTTGTCTGTGATCTGGGTGACATACAGGCGGCCCAGTGGTGTGCAGAGCAAAGGAGGAACTAACCAGACAACATCACACACACACACTCTAACCACTTGATTTTAAGATCATATTTAACTAAGGAGATTAAAGCGCAACACAGCCTTCTGGTTTCTGCATTCTCACGCCTAAAACTGCAAACTAAGAGAATAATCTTTGCAAATGTCATGCCACAGAAGAACAGACGGAGCGGGCATGAGGGGGCCTATGAATAAAAACCTGCGAGAGGCGTATCAGGGAGGTCATAAAATGTTTTAACATGACAGAGAACGAAGCCTCTGCAGACGAGGTGAACTCAGAGCGAGTTCATTTCAGATCACCACAGCCTGCAGGGCATCAGTCAAAATCTGGCAGGAGCTCGGCCTGTTTGCGTGCAGGTATATGCAGCATTTCTGGGCCCACTTGCTATGAAATATTTGTGTTAAATGAGTCTGTATTCAGTCCACAGGGGCATTAGCCCGGGCTGGGATCCTACCTGGAATGCAGAGCGGTTACGTAACTCAGAGGACTTTGGATGATCTGTGATTGATGCACTTTGTGGCATGTTTTTCTTTTTGAAGCGGCTCCGTCTGAAAGAACAGCACAAACAAACGCTGTAGATTTATAAGTAGCAGCGTTCAGCTTTAAAAGAAACAAGCAAACCATCTGTTGAGTGACAAATACACTCAGGATTTATGATCCCTTTCCCCTAGTTAGGGACTTCATGGAACGGAAAGGAGGGGTCGTAGGAGCACTTTTTATAAGTTTCCTGGAGAGTCTGAAATCTGTGGTGGAGCAGGTTTCTTAATCTTAAGGTCCCTCACCTCAGATTTAGATATACTTGAGCCTCAAACTGAGGCACACCAAGCTGCAGCCTGTCATAATGGATTAAGTCACTGAAGTGAAAATAAATGCTCAGTGAGCGGCTGGAAAATCCAGCTTTCAGAGCATTTGGGATACACCAGTTTTTGTACATAGTGTCTAATGTAAAATCTGTTCGTGAAAGCCCATCTCTACTTATTTTCCAACCAAAGGCACTACATACGATGTTTGTTCGTACTCTTTTAAAGTAAGACAGGAGCAATTCCCACACAAACATCAGATTAAGAAAGTTGTCTGT